TCACGTGTCTTATTAAAGTGATTTATTTTTTATTATTTGGGTGATATGGAGAAAACACTTAAATATTTTAAACTTTTAAAACCGAAATATAATGCATATTAGGAAAGCTCCAAATAAAAAGTCCGTTTTAACAAAATTCAGGTTTAACGAACCATCCATGTTCTTTTTGTATATGTAGACGTTTTTAGAAGTGGCCCGCCGTCATACACAATACAGAATTTAAAAGGTGGTACTTGTAACCTTGCCTGGCGCTCGGCAGGGGCTAAAACAAGGACTGGTCAGGTCGGAGTCAGTATACTGTGTCTGAGTGGAGTATCCATGTTAAACTGAGTGATAATCTGATTATGAGTGAGTGAATTACTCATGATCGGCGAGACTTGACAAGTCAGGAGGTTATGGGAAATAACAAGATCACTGAAGATGATATGAGACATAATCGTTATTGTTTTGTCGGTAGATAAGCATATTTGAGAATAAACGCTGACAGAGAGGGCCACAGAACATTTTAACAAATATCCAAGAAATGTGTTTCCAGAACATTTCCTTTTCTTATTTTTGAAACGGATGCTCAGCTTCTTGCTCTGCATCTGCCGGTTGTTTTTGACAGCGGATATACGTTTTCAGACAAAAATAACAAAAATAATTCGTTACTTATGACAGGTGCTGGTAAGGAAACTGATTATCACACCTGTCACATCATTCTCCAGCCTCTTCCTTGCCCTGCTATAAACCCCGTCCTCCCTCTGATGTACGTGACCCGTGAAGATTCGGGTTAGAATGGGTCTTCAGCCACCCATGATTGTCGTAAGAGGCGACTAGCGGGATCGGGTGGTCAGGCTCGCTGACCTGATTGATGCATGTCATCGTATCCCAATTGCGTGCATCGATGCTCATGTTGTCAATCAATGAATTGTCTGGTCCAGACTCGATTACTTACAGACCGTCGTCATACAGCTGGAATATTGCTGAGTGCGGCGTTAAACAAAAAACAAAAAAAACAACATATCAACATATTTGTTAGAATTATCAGGTAACTGGCTCAAACTGTGAAATACCAATAACATTGTAATGACATTAATACTTCATTTGAATGTGAATAGTTGCTTTATTTTCATTTAAAAAAATGTGTTACTTAAACGTGGCTGTGGCTATATAAGGATAAATCCTGGCAGAGAATAATGACAGAAAACCTAGCCTTTGAGAATTTTGTAAAGCAAACGGGGGCACGGGTGGCCCAGTCGTCTAAGGCGCCGCGATTCGCTGTGCAGAGGCGCGTCCCTTGGTCACACCAGAAACCTATGATTGTGGGTTCGAATCCCGGTTCGCCCCGATTATGTTTCTAGGTTTGTCAGCACCATACCCGTGCTGGTGGGTTTCACCGAAGTGGTAAACGTCTGAGACCTGCATCACTTCAGGCTTTCCTCCCACATTAAGCTGACACGCCGCGATATAACTGGAATACTGTTAAAAGTGGCGTTAAACCCAACTCACTCACTCACTGTAAAGCAAACGTTGATTGAAGATGGGTATCATGTTGCGTGTACTTGCCCGCATCATTATCTTAACAGAGTTGAATATGTTGTTCGCTTGTTTTGGGAATATCCGTCAGAAATTTGTCCAGCTATTACAGTCTAATTCAAAGATAAAGTTCACTTTATTTGTCGACATTAATTAAATGTTCAACGCAATAACTTCGAGTTACCCGTTACGACCCAGCCTCTATTCTCTGATATGAATATGTATATCATAATGTAGACGAGGGACCCCTCATCCAATGTCTTGTCCTTGAATAACATTCTGTTCTGTTTGACAAGGACACCCTCTTGTACAACTCGATCTGTATAATTACATGATAGAAAACGTCAACGCGTAGAACGATTCTCGATTATCGGCCGCAACAGATTCCTTTTGGCGTAAGAGGCAAAATAGCGACGAAAATTATATGAATAGATCACTAAAAATCAGCGATGACACGACTCGTTCGTGAAAATGTTAAGCATGTCCTACTTCACCAGAAGCACGCGCCACTTACACAATTTTCATAACAAAACAGTTTAAATTGTTTGATAGGCATTACTTAGAAGTTGACGGATGACAAGGTAGACACAATTTTATGGATAACAACTTCTTTAATACTGTAAAAAGCGATGTTTCGGTATAGATCCTTATATCGTTGTCAAGCAAGACTGAATGAGGTACAGTAATTTGGAGTTTAACTAAGGGAGCTGGGTATGGTGGATGTTTGTTTGTTTATGTGATTTTGATTTGGTAGATTATTGTGTTTTTAGATTCGTTTTATTAGTTCCGTTTTGATTAATAATACGCCTAAGGCCTTGAAGTTTTCTAGTTTATTTTGTGGGTTTAGTATTGCTTCTAGAGTGAGAGCCTTGTTTAGATTGAGGGTGGTTTGTAATGCGGTTCGATGTGTTCGGTAGTGTGTGCAGTGGATGAGTGCGTGTTCTGGGGTGTTCTAGTTGTTTGCAGCGTGGGCAGTTACCTGTAGTGTGTTTTTTTATTTTTTTTAGGTGATTATTTAGGTTGGTGTGTCCTGTTTGGAGTTTAGTGATTAATCTATCGATTTATTTTGATGGATGGAGAATTTTTGGTTTGGTTAGTGGTTTGCTGAGTACTTTTTTGATTTGGCTATTTGAGTTTAGATATAGGTTATGCCATTTTTTGGTGATTTTTTGCTTGTATACACTTTCAATTTCTGATTTTGAGATGGGTAAGTTTAAGCTTATTTCTGGAATTTTAAGGGATAGTTTAGCTGCTTTATCGGCGTTTTGATTACCGTATATTCCTACGTGGGCGGGTATCCACAAGAAGGTTATTTGTTTGCCTGCCTTAGTTAGGTCGTTGGAGCTTTTAAGTATTTGATTTATTAATTTAGGTCGGTTTTTGGTATTTTTGTTTTGGAGGGCTTGCAGTCCACTGAATGAGGGACTTAGTACAAATATATATTGTAGGTGGAGGATTAACAGTAGAGGATTAACAGTAACAACAATTGCACATATGAGTGGGATAACATTGGTATGTGTTGACAACAACTGTCACAACACGATGGACAGAGAACACATAGGTGGAAGCCAATGGCACATGAAGCCAATTAAACAGGATAAGTGATTATTGCTTGATGAGTTCATAGTAGGCGGATGGGATGAAATAGCCTTGATCTCTGTTGATTGATGGCTTGTGGCGGCGAATGTGGATTGCTTCTGTTAGTTTTCTTTTACTGAAATCAATGAGGTTGTTGGAGAGGAGTTGGACGTTGTCCCAGTTGATGTTGTGATCAGGACAGTTGTTGATATGGTCCGAGATGGCTGATTTACTGTCGGATTTAATGGTGGAGGGTTTGTGTTCTTTCATTCTGGTGTTGATTGGGCGGGATGTTTCACCTACGTAAGATTGTCAACGGTATAAGGGTCTATACCGAAACGTCGCTTTTTATAGTATAAAAGAAGTTGTTATCCATAAAATTGTGTCTACCTTGAAAAAAAGTTTGTTTATTGCCCAACGCTGCTCCCATCAATACTCCTTAAGAAATGAGAGTTCGAGAACGAGTTAAACTTTAACACTGCATCAGCATTGTTTCAGCCTAGACTGAAATCATTCATTGTCATGCTTTATCTTGAAGTTCAAATTTAACATTTTTGTTTGGTCAAGAAGCTATTATACTTTCCCTTTTTAAGTTCTTAGGAGATAAGGGCGACCTAGTTATCGAAAGGCACCCGAATACACTTTGCCAGAAGCCACTTGGTTCGAATCCTGATTCACCCTGATTATGTTTCTAGGTTTGGTGACATCTTATCGTGCTCATGAGTTTCACAAAAGTTTTAAACGACTAAGCCTTTCCTTAACACCAAGCTGACACGATCTTATATAACCAAATTACTGTTGAAAGCAGCATTAAACCCATCTCGCTCACTGATTCACTCTCACCTTTAGGTTAAATTGTCAGTTCAATTCGATATGCAGTTACCATTGGCAAACACTGTTTAATATCAGCTCTAAACCATTTTGAAGTCACCGGAAAGCATCATATCCAAATTTACTTTACTGCAAGGTTGCTACAACAACCATGACTGTAGTTGACAGGATGTCATTAGTAGATTAGGATATATATACACACGAGTCTCTATATTGAGACGAAAACCAACTGTGATGTGCGTCAACATTGTTTTAGCCGGTGACATGACTTCCTGCCGCTAGACGATAGTATAAAACTGTGAAACACATTTTGATCTCGACACACAACATGGATTTAATACGAGAATCAAGACCGGAGTCCATTACTATCACCGTGCTTGGGGCGGACAAGGTTGGAAAGACATCCTTTGTCTCTCGCTTTCTGAACGGGACATACCCCCCTGAATGTACTCCGACGAGCCATGAGACTTTCATCCGTTGCGTGCAAACTTCAGGTAATACTTAATTAGTTGTTTGTAATCTGTAAAAATGTCGTTTTATCGGCGCAAAATTACGAGGAAGCACAAAACGGTCATTTGCATTAAAGACGAATATAACTTTCACGTACCATTAATTCCTTACAACTCAGGGATAAAAACAGATTGAATGGTATAATTATTGCAATATTTACAAAATGTTTCACAACGGACAAATATCGGTTATGAGGTTGCCTGAATACCTTTATTTAAAATATTAGTACAGAGCCCACATGGCAGTCAATTGTAGGATTCCGACTGTATCATGAACATGTGTTTATGAATCACTATCACATAACAATGATACAAGGTGTTCGCGAAAAGGTGAGCGTATACTGCCCCCGAGGTGGCACCCGTCACAAACACACGCAAAGGCAAGTCACCTAAAAATAACCGCGGGAAACATATTGGTACAGTTCAAAATAGGGAATTGCATCGACCATCATTTGGAAAGGGTCTCAAACTGTCTCATGTTTGTCATTAAGTTTAAAATACACGTGAAGGCTGATGCAGTATGATTGGGTATGACGCTGGTTTATGTTTTTATGTCACCTGATTTCCAGAAGGAAGTTACCAGCAGATACAGGTGGTGGACACATCTGTGACAAAAGAGGCATTAGACACGACGGACACGCACATAAAAGACAGTGATGCCCTTCTGGTCCTCTACTCTGTTGACAAACGAAAGTCTTTGAAGAAGGCCATCAGGATATGTCGTCATGTTTTACAAATTAAAGGTAAATATTAGCTTATGTTTTCAGTATGACATGAGACCCGTGAAGTTCCGGGGTAGAATAGGTCTTCAGCAACCCATGCTTGCCATAAAACGCGACTATGCTTGTCGTAAGAGGCGACTAACGGCATCGGGTGGTCAGGCTCGCTGACTTGGTTGATGCATGTCATCGTATCCCAATTGCGATCATCGTTGCTCGTGATGTCAATCACTGGATTGTCTGGTCCAGACTCGATTTTTTACAGACCGCCGTCATATAGCTGGAATATTGCTGAGTTCGGCATTAAACAACAAACCAACCAATTACTTGTCATGCTGTTGGATTGTTGCTTTTCGCGCATTCAACACTGTCAAATAGCTGGAATATTGCTGAGTGCAGCGGTAACTAACAAACAAACAAACAAATGAGCCATAAATATTGGAAACATTGTAACTTGATCCTCACGTTATAGTTTGGTTGTCATTTACAGATTCGACAGATACCCCGTTATTTCTGGTAGGCAACAAGTCCGACCTAAAATGCGGATGGGGGATGAACAAAGAAAAGGTTAACAAATTTATCCAAAATCGTGTTTGTTGCTTTCACATGCAAAGTAGTGCCAAAACAAGCCAAAACGTCAGGTTGATATTTGACTCAGTAATAGAACATACCCTGATCAAAGCAGTGAAAGATGCCATGTCTTCCCAGCGGCGAAATACTCATGTTTCACTGTGCGCTGTAAATGGAGACCATCGCCCTCCGGCTAGAATTTCAAAGAACTCACTGGAGAGTACCATGGGTTCTGACGGGGATTCTGAGAAAAGATATAGTTTCTTACGGTCGAAACCCTCTCTTGAGCACGTGACACATCCTCCATGTCCCATTCGTGAAGACAGTATGAAGTCACAAGGCGACAGTTTGATTTCTACCAGGAAATCATCCAGTCACAAGTCCCCAGTGACGGTTATGAACACCCAGGCCGTGGAGGGTAAATCTTCATTTTCATCATCTGAAAGAAGAAGAACCAGCAAACGGTCACCTCCTTCCGTCTCAGATCTCGATAAGCTGAGGAGGACGTCGACAACTGCGGCGATCGTACAACCCAGGAAGTCACGCGGGTCCATGACGATTCACGCTGACAATAATATGGTAATGTCAAGTCCCCATCCCCACGAGGTACATGTCGGTGTAGACACAAGCTTTTGCGTTACTCGGGTCCTTGAAACTAGGCACATTTGCAGTGGAAGCTCAGAGTCGTCGGCCCTCGGGGAAGGAGACAACACAAATGGGAGACGTAGAAAAATCGGCATGTCTCTCCACTCTATCCAGGACCGACACGTGGAAGTTATTCGGCATCTGTTTTGCGTCTGTTGGGGTAGAAATTAAGAAGAATGGACAGAAGAAACAATGTAGCATCATGTTGCCAAGGTTTACATTTGTAGGGAGATAAATGGTGAAACAGGCCGTGTTGATTTAGGTTTTAGAACAAACCAACGAACACGGTTTGGTGCACCCCAATGATATCCTGATGGTCTAAGGGAGGTAACCCATCCTGTGGCTGCTACTTGTTCACCGAAGTGGTAAAAGTCAAAGACAGGAGCACGGGTGTGGTGCTGAGAACCCAAGAAACATGATCGCAGCGAAACGGGAATCGAACACACAATCACGGATTCCTGGCGTGCCCAAGGGACGCAATTCTGTACAGTGAATTCTTTCGCCTTTGACGACTGGGCCACCCGTACCCCTTTTTGTTTTGAAAAGACACTTTATCAGTTTGTGTGACATCGACCCTTATGTATTTAAAATTTGTGAAAACACTCTTGGCTTTTAAGAATATATTTTGAAGACAATGTATCTGTAACCTGTCTTTGAGACTTTATTGACTTTTAATGTGGTTTACATAACTGACATTGAGTTGGATGTTTTGATGTGATATTATGCCCTATGTGATAAGTCCACACTGGCTTGACCTTCCCAACTGTATGTATCTGTAGAACAGTGATCGATTTCTATCATTAACTTGATGATGAGATAAGAAGTAGCCCCGAAAGAGTGTGAATAAAGAATACAGAACTTTAATCCATGTGCGTTGTGTCTCTGTTAAGTAATATCTTCTTAATGCCTGTAAAAAACATGATGAACATCCTTTTCGTTTGTATACTGCTCAAAACAAGCTAAGGACCACCCAAGTCTTTCATATCACTGTAGTTAATCTATCATGGCATGACAGATTAACTATAGTAATATGAAAGAATGGGATGGTCCTTAACTTTTCTTGAGTAGTATAGAACAGGAAACGTCAACGCCAGAGGATAACCAATCTCGATTATCCCCCGAAACATTTTCCATTGGGCGTAAAAGGCAAAAATAGCGGTGAAAATGAAATGAATGGATCCCTTAAAATCAGTGATTATGAACACCAAGTGTTCGCGAATGTGATTATGTGCCACCGTCTAATTGTTTCTGAAGCGTTTCAAAATGAGATTCGAAGCCCGGAAATATCTGCAGAGACGTTAAACCCCAATTATCCTCAGGTCGCCATCTCTCTCTCCAGCCAACACACTACGTTTTCACAACGTTGTGGTATTGTTGTGGACTTGTAATATGACCTTCTTCAAACATTCGCCATCTTGGATGGAAAACGAGGCTCGGAGAGCATAGTTGATGGGGAACAGAGAGCATATTGTGACTCAGTGTCCCCGCATTTCACTGAAGGACATTACAAACAAATACTAGGTATCCTCTGTGTCCAATCCAGAAGATATTGCACATTTAATCCTGAGGTGCAAATAAAGTATGCTAGTATTACACTGGAATTCGCATTTTGCTGTCAGGATCCCGGAAGTGAATCGACAGGTGCATTTCGAGATACGTATCTCCGAAATAGATTGTTTAATCATAGCCTCGTCTTCATATGGATACAGTGTGATAGTATAATCAATGACAGAAAATTGTGTAGTAAACCAACAGCACAACATGAAACACGTCCGTGTATTTTGCTAATTTGATGAGTCAACGCGTGGCTTGGCGAAGTCGAGATATTCATGTTTATATCACGAGTTATAGAGGTGTTAGCTGCACCTCGCACTATCGTTTTGCCATCTGTCCAGTTGACATAAGGCACTTTTTCTGCTTTGATTTTCATCCAAACATATTACGATGTGAATGAAAATAGACTGAACATAATATGTGTACTTTCTTTGGTACATCTTCCCGAAGCAAGGGAATTGACTGACAAAAAGTCCAGTTTCCACCCTTGCCGAACTAGACTGGAGTTTCATGACTCCATCGTAGCGCCACCAGTGGCTATAACGTGTTATGTCAATTCTATGGCCGTCCTATTGACCAGATTCCACCTCTCATCCGTGCAATTCCTGCAATCTACCGAAATCTGCACTGCAGTCACCATGTTGTTTACGAATCGGTTGTCGAGTGCGTTACGCGATTTTTGATCGAACTGTGCCCAGGACTCGTCAGGCAAGCCAAAATATAACTCAGAATTTCCAACCTAGTTCCGAAAGGATGGAAACTGGACTTTAAAGTCAGTTAACCCTCTTGCCTCGGGAAGATGCGTTTCGTACGAATGGATGCTTAGTCAGCACAAAATCAGCTGCTTGGACTACTCCACCTAATCCCACTCTAGTCGCATCTTAACATTATATATTTATTTCAGTTATATATCTTGGCGCGTCAGCTTGATTTTGAACAAAAACGAAAAAAAATCCTTTCCATATTCACAAGAAATTGTACGCTTCCGGGTATAACATGAGGATGTGTTCAGGAATCACCATCAAATAGTGATGTACCTGGGGAGCGTATCCTGCCCCACCGGTGGCTCCTGTCACAAACACATTCAAGGCGACGTCATTTGTTCTCCTGAAAAAATAAAACAGGAACATATGGTTCAAGTCAAAACAGGGAATTGCTTCGGACATCACTTTTGTCACTGATGCGTTGGAAATGTCCACGTTTCTACCATAAAACGTTTTGAAAGCTTTTTTCAGGCCTTGAATGGTGTAACCTTGATCAAATAACACCTGTTACCAGAATGTCAAGACCACGCCCCAGCCCGGGCTAGGTGAAAACAAGAATTGCAGTTAGATCCGCTATCTCTCGTAGATCTCCTAAAGCCAAGAGATGCAATAGCGAAGGCCAAACTAACACTATTTATGGGTGATGGACAGCTACTCGAACGTATATAAACAGAGCAGCCAAAGATAAAAATGAGTGCGAAATACGCATCAGTCGGAAAGCGCGCGTTAATCTCCAAAGTAAGATAAAAATGAAGACTTAGTGATATCAATATACGAAAATAGAAATCATATCAATACAAAAACAGAAATTATGTGAATACCAAACTCACAATAGATATGTGTACCCAACTCGCACACACGAGTCTCAAAGAGGGACAGGTCAGCCGAAATTGCTTAGGCAGAAGGCGACCTCTTAAACACTTAATACAACAACAACACTCGTAACTCAGAAGTATTTGATAATTTAGATAATGCAGAGTGAAAAAAACATTTTGAAAACTATTTAAAACATCAAAACGAAATCACGTTTACACTAAATACAATTTGTCAATCAGAAATCGATTATCTATATATTGTGTGCAGATCTAAAAACTTTTACTGTTTATGTTTTAAGTTGAACCATTCGAAATTATAATGTGTGAGGCTAAAATATTAAAAAAGGTTGTTTAATATTGGATCCATTTTGACAGCTTTCTCACTGCAAAACATCCCATTCCCTTACTTAACTATATGTGCTCTATTGTCTTGGAATATCAAGCCTTCAAACAGATATGAAAAGCAAATGTCAATATACCAAAATTAGAAAACTGCGCCAAATATTCTAACAGTGTTAGTCAAGTGATAAACGGTCTCATTTACTCGTCGGTCGCCTTAGAAAAATCCCCATTCGTGATGTACTGGATCTACTTTCTAGTTCAGTCAAAGAGAATATTATTATTTGGAAACTGAAACCACGTGTATCCATTATACGACCACAACATTATATCAGATGTTTGACGTGACGTCATCCCCGCTAGGTCTGATCACGCGCACCTGTCTAGACGACAAATTCACAGCGGCGGGAAGTCAGCGATCGTCTATTAGACTACACAAATAACTGATTGTAACGTCATCGAATGACAAAAATAAAGCGTTCACACATTGCTGACATTTCACATAACATATCAAATAAAAATTGCAGATTTAAAATAGATTATCATACGATAATCGAGAGTACAGTCTACATTAATAATTTTTAAATCTAATATTAATTAGATCTAATATCCATGACAGAATGTTGGAAATACGAACCTGTCGTGTTATGATAATATATTATATTATCTGAAGAGATTTTTAATGTGTGTTTGATGATATATATACATACAAAATTTGTTATCAGTTATCTTGTGCAATCACAGCATGTACCGTGTATATTAGACTCACGGGAAATACTGTTTCATCAAACCAATCACCATTCGTGACCAACTCGTGTTATTCCGTGACAAGCCGATCTTCTTGCAGGTTACGGAAAGGGGCGAGTGGTGACGAATGACCAATCACAGCGCCATTATCACAGTTCCACAGTTTTCAATGTGACATGGGTGCATAATCAAAATTCGAAGTCGTTCGCTTGAAGTTCAAACATGGAAGAAAATGATGGAGAAGCGCGGTAACCACTTTACTAATCTGACCATATTTCGCAATCCGTAGCACTGTATAAAATATGAGTTACGCGATGTTAAAACTGAGATGATAAGGGCGATGATGGTTATTATTTTGATTTTGCGAACTCAGTGTTTGATATCCTTTTTTTTTTTTTTGGTGGTTCCTTTTTTTACTTGAGTAAAATATACATTTAGGTTTTAGTCGAAAAGTCCGAAGCCCATGTCTTCGTCTTCTGACTCAGACTCTTCCTTCTTTTCCCCTTTCTTTGCTTCAGCAGCACCACCAGCTGCAGGCGCGGCACTGCCACCAGCTCCGGAAGCAGCAGCACCCCCTGTTGGCACCGAGGCAAGCTTCTTCTGGCCTTAATTCACAGTTGAAAAGGGAATGTTCATTTTGTGATTTATCGCGGGGGAATCTTCTATTTATATACTCTCTCTGTTATTGTGGGTTGTGGGGTTTACTGCATGCTGATTTACATTTACGAAATAAACCACGAATGGGAGTTGTCAATCGTACAATAAAACACTGCTGGGAGAATACACCATGAGAGGCGCAATCCCGAGTGGTTTATTCTCCCTGCACTTTTATATTGTACGATAAATAACGACCACGGGTCGTTTATTTCTTATATAAGATACCAACATAATGTACGTCCTCTTTAAGCATATAAACAAAATGTACAAGCTTTAAACATATTTACCCGTATTTTAATAATGATGACTCCTAAATAGAACCCAACCTCGGCAATGTCGGACAAGTCCATTTTATTAACAGGTGGGTTTGGTATTGGTATGTCCCACATATTCTCCCAATACTCACGTCGATTATCTGTACCTTTTCTCCCAGTACCGATTATCATATCTCTCCCAGTTTTGGATGCGATCGTTTGGCCACTCATGACTGCGTCTATCTACGTTGCCCATCTACACATATGGGAAACAACTCACTCGGCACTTCCCACTAAACAATAACGTCGTCCAATAGATGTCGTCATCAAGTTGCGAGCGCATATTCGAATCTCCAGAAATGACGTCCTGAATTGTCTGTCCGTCTGTCACTTCGGGCTTTCCTCCCACATTAAGCTAACACGCCGTGATATAACTGGAATACTGTTAAAAGCGGCGTTAAACTAAACTCACTCGTGCGTGCGTGCGTGCGTGCGTGCGTGCGTGTAAATAATAATTATGAAAAAAACTCCTACTGAATTTCTTGACATCAAGATGTATTTCTTGCCAATGAAATTCAATACGTTTTCAACAGACGCCAGACTTAGGAAGCCCTTTTACGTCATAAACTACCCTATAAAATACTTTTACTACAACTACTACTACTAGACGAAGTATCTTATCAGCTGATCGTGCTTTGTTAATTCTCAATATGAATCAGACAACACAAACATTTATTACATATTTATTTACATATTTACACTGCGACAGTTGAAAACCATGGATATTGTTATGGTACTAAACCTTAAAGGTCATAATCAATTCACAGTGATTCAAACTAACAACATCAACATCAACCACTGCACGTTGTGGGCCGGCCTTGTACCCAGTACATCACATACTGCACTGCTACAAGATTATTACTCACAACACCGGGCGCTTATCAGTATATGGAAGCGTTTCATGGTCACACATGCCACAGGTTTGTTAGTTATATTTGGTCGTATGTACACATCAATATTGATGTAAGCTATAAGACGGCGACCTGTAAATAATCAAGGCTGGACCACTAAAACCAGTGGTGGATACCATGAGCAACATCGGGGCACGATGATACACAAATAAACGAGCCTGAACACTTGATATGTTTTGAGGCGCCTCGAAAGAAACGCAAAGGTTGATTGGGACACCCTGTAACCTAGGCTTCAGACGGGGATATCATGCCCACGTTGGCGCTGTACATCCACCACTTGCATTGTAGACTATGCTGTTGTATCATCGCGGTCTGTAAATAGTCTCGGATCCGGTCTTCAGCAACCCATGCTTGTCGTAAAAGGCGACTATGCTTGTGGTAAGAGGCTACTAACGGGATCGGGTGGTCAGGCTCACTGACTTGGTTGATGCATGTCATCGTATCCCAATTGCGTGGATCGATGCTCATGATGTCAATGACTCGATAATTTACAGACCGCCGTCATAAATCTGGAATATTTATTGCTGAGTGCGGCGTTAAACAACAAACAATCCAACAACCAATCACAGCAGGATCAACAATCCATGCTGGAATGTACGGCGAGCTCAACGAACCAAGTTACACGGGCTGTAATACTTTTTCGGCAAGTCTGAGTGAGTGAGTGAGTTGGGGTTAACGCCGCTTTGAACAGTATTCCAGTTATATCACGGCGTGTCAGCTTAATGTGGGAGGAAAGCTCGAAGTGATGATCTGCACAGCAAATTGCGGCGAATTTACAACTGGGCCACCTGTGCCTCCCCCAACCCCCGCAACACAGCAAGTCTTATTCATATTCTGAAGGAAAAAAGTAAGGCAACAACTATAAATTTCCGTATATACACGAATATGCCCAGATAGCTTCATCAAATATGGTTAAAAGCCAGAGTTGTAATCTAACATTTGAATCTGTACAATTTCATAGATATGAAACTACCGGAGCACTGATTTTCACAATTTCGGCTGTTTCTATATGATTTCCATTGTGTCATACGATCAGTGTATATTTTCACGAACTTCAGGATTATCTGAAAGTAGCTGCTGGTGAAAGCGCGCGTGCAGGGTCCCATTTACCATGTAACAATCAGTGCTGACACTCTGACTTAATTATGTTCCATCAACCGCATACAGAGCACTCTTCCGTCGAACTTGATGCAAATCAGGTGCAAAATAGGAGCCGGTTTTGTTGAGCCATAAACAAGTTCTAAAAACACGTGTGACGTGAGTGTCAAGTCAAGACGTGTTGGCGACATTGTGCTGGCAACACAAGTAACAGATGAAGACAGTCGGAAGCTCACTTCACATGACGACGCAAGCCCGCTTTCGTTTGTTCTTTCTCTGTGAGACAGTTGATGAGGGAAGAGATGACGGAACTGAAACAGAAGGTAAATTGTGAGTGAGAGAGAGAGAGAGAGAGAGAGAGAGAGAGAGAGAGAGAGAGAGAGAGAGAGAGAGAGAGAGAGTCCCCCCTCCCCCCCCCGTCAAACATTGTGCTATTTTAAAAGTAGCCTTTGCTTGGCACGATGTCAGTCAGAACAAAGATGACCAAATATCAACGCGCCTACCTCGTGCTGAGGAAGAAGTCGATGCTCCAAACGTCGGCCTGTAACTACTGCAAGGAGCTGAAATAAGAGATGTAGCCTCTTGAACATATATCTATATTTTTGGTGAGGATCAAATTTATTAAATGAAAGTATATCTGCCCGGAACGGACTTTGTGCCATTAAAAACTTCCACATATCTAGGTTGTTGTTGTTTGTTGTTTAACGCCGCAATCAGTAATATTCCAGCCATATGATGGGGGTCTATAAATAATCGAGTGTGAATCAGACATTCCAGTGATTGACATCATGAGCATCGTTCCACGCAAATTGGATACCATGATATGCATCAACCACGTCAGCGAGCCTGACCACCCGATCCCCTCATCACCTCATACAACAAACATGGTCGCCTTTTTACGACAAGCATGACCTATTCTACCCCGAATCTTCACGGGTTATCTCTACATGTTCATACTCCTGGCGAAATGGAAGCGAAAAACTCGTGTAGCATCCAATGAATGGAGGCTTACGGATCTTAAGATTTTTTGTTTATTTGTTGTTTAACGCCGCACTCAGCAATATTCCAGCTATATGACGGCGGTCTGTAAATAATCGAGTCTGAACCAGACAATCCAGTGATTGATATCATGATCATCGATCCACGCAATTGGGATCGATGGCATGCATCAACCAAGTCAGCGAGCCTGACCACCCGATCCCGTTAGTCGCCTTTTACGACAAGCATAGTCGCCATTTACGGCAAGCATGGGTTGCTGAAGACCTATTCCACCCCGGAATCTTCACGGGTCCGTATCTTAAGAACATCAAGGTGAAAAACGTTTACCTACCTACGTATTTAACCCACTGATCGTCATTCGCTTGGTAGGAGAACTGGGGAGTGCCCGTGGCGTGTGATACATTCCACCAGTCGGATAGCACGTTGCGCTGGAATCAGGAGTGAGTACGTGAGGTTTTACGCCGCTTTAAGCAATATATGTAGTGTTCATTGTTTCCTGTAGGTTATAGTATTTCTTTGTTCCTATGCATACGAATAGAGGTATACTTTGGCCCTTGAATAACACATTATATTCCTGATCTATAAAAAATCCACGTTCATCATACTATCTGAACCGTTGTATACAAGCCTGTCATCATTAGTTTTATCATGTTATGTTTGTTTGTTTGTTGTTTTACGCCGCACCCAACAATATTCCAGCTATATGATGGCGGTCTGTAAATAATCGAGTCTGAAACAGACAACCCAGTGTTTGACATCATGATCATCGATCCACGTGATTGGGATACGATGACATGCATCAACCAAGTCAGCGAGCCTGACCACCCGATCCCGTTAGTCGCCTTTTACGACAAGCATAGTCGCCTTTAACGGCAAGCATCGGTTGCTGAAGACCTATTCTACCCCGGATCTACATGCATCAACCAAGTCAGCGAGCCTGACCACCCGATCCAGTCAGTCGCCTCTAACGGCAAGCATGGGTCGCTGAAGACCGTTTTATCATGTAAATGTATCTGCCCACTTTATATACTTTATCACCACCCACCTTGAAATGGTAAATAATGCATTAAAAAGCACGAACAAAAACTCATTGATATTTATCTTACCTCTTTTTTCGCTTTAGCTTTCGTCTCGGGCGATTTTTCCTCCAATTGTTTGAACATTTCTTTCTTTTCCTCCGTCATTTCCCCCTTCTCTTCAATCTCTCGCTCAAAGGCGTCCAGTTGCTCTTCATTAGACTCCCGGTAACATACTGCAATAGATAATGTCAATATCATGCCATGGTAGGAAACTGTTCCAGAGATTCTGGATGAATCCTGTGTAAAGACAGCACGTGTCTTTAAGCACTATAGCTATTCAGTGAGGCTTCCTGCAATATTAAAATCATCACCCACTGGCAAACGTTTTCATATATAGAACATACTTTATGTTTAATGTATTATTTGTGAGATGAGTCTATTAAAATATGGGTCGAGACGAGATGACCTACTGAACACGTCTCAAGGTGAATTCATAACTAAAAGTAATACGTCAGGTGAGTTTTTCACTGTAAGCAATACGTCAGGTGAGTCTGTGACTAGGTAATACGCTCAGGTGAGTCTGTGACTGTAAGCGATGCGTCAGGTGAGTCTGTGACTGTAAGCAATGCGTCAGGTGAGTCTGTGACTAGGTAATACGTCAGGTGAGTCTGTGACTGTAAGCAATGCGTCAGGTGAGTCTGTGACTAGGTAATACGTCAGGTGAGTCTGTGACTGTAGGCAATGCGTCAGGTGAGTCTGTGACTGTAAGCAATGCGTCAGGTGAGTCTGTGACTAGGTAATACGTCAGGTGAGTCTGTGACTGTAAGCAATGCGTCAGGTGAGTCTGTGACTGTAAGCAATGCGTCAGGTGAGTCTGTGACTAGGTAATACGTTAGGTGAGTCTGTGACTGTAAGCAATGCGTCAGGTGAGTCTGTGACTAGGTAATACGTCAGGTGAGTCTGTGACTGTAAGCAATGCGTCAGGTGAGTCTGTGACTAGGTAATACGTCAGGTGAGTCTGTGACTGTAAGCAATACGTCAGGACTGGTGAGTCTGTGACTGTAATACGTCAGGTGAGTCTGTGACTAGGTAATACGTCAGGTGAGTCTGTGACTGTCAGCAATACGTCAGGTGAATCTGTGACTAGGTAATACGTCAGGTGAGTCTGTGACTGTAAGCAATGCGTCAGGTGAGTCTGTGACTAGGTAATACGTCAGGTGAGTCTGTGACTGTAGGCAATGCGTCAGGTGAGTGTGACTGTAAGCAATGCGTCAGGTGAGTCTGTGACTAGGTAATACGTCAGGTGAGTCTGTGACTGTAAGCAATGCGTCAGGTGAGTCTGTGACTAGGTAATACGTCAGGTGAGTCTGTGACTGTCAGCAATACGTCAGGTGAATCTGTGACTAGGTAATACGTCAGGTGAGTCTGTGACTGTAAGCAATGCGTCAGGTGAGTCTGTGACTAGGTAATACGTCAGGTGAGTCTGTGACTGTAAGCAATGCGTCAGGTGAGTCTGTGACTAGGTAATACGTTAGGTGAGTCTGTGACTGTAAGCAATGCGTCAGGACTGGTGAGTCTGTGACTGTAAGCAATACGTCAGGTGAGTCTGTGACCAGGTAATACGTTAGGTGAGTCTGTGACTGTAAGCAATACGTCAGGACTGGTGAGTCTGTGACTGTAATACGTCAGGTGAGTCTGTGACTAGGTAATACGTCAGGTGAGTCTCTGACTGTCAGCAATACGTCAGGTGAATCTGTGACTAGGTAATACGTTAGGTGAGTTTGTGACTGTAAGCAATGCGTCAGGACTGGTGAGTCTGTGACTGTAAGCAATACGTCAGGTGAGTCTGTGACTAGGTAATACGTTAGGTGAGTCTGTGACTGTAAGCAATACGTCAGGACTGGTGAGTCTGTGACTGTAATACGTCAGGTGAGTCTGTGCCCCTAAGATAATACGTTTTTCATTACGTGAGTCTAAGAGTATAAGAACACCTCCAGGTGAGGCTATGAGTTTAAGTTATACGTCCAAGTGAATCTGTGATTATACGTAATACGTCCAGGTGAGCCCACGAGTTGATATAATTCGTACAAGTGAGTAAGTTTGTTTGTTGTTTAACGCCGCACTCAGCAATATCCCATCGAGTCTGGACCAGATAATCCAGTGATTGGCATCATGAGCATCGATCCACGCAATTGGGATACGATGACATGTACCAACCAGGTCGGCGAGCCTGACCACCTGATCCCGTTAGTCGCCTCTTATACAAGTGAGTTAGTGATTATATGCAAGACGCACAGGATAGCCTCTGAGGCAACGGAACACCAGGTGAAAATGAGTATAAACGGTGACTACACGTAATGATGTCACGTGAGTCAACCACTCATACGCCCAGGTGAGTCTGTAACCATTCATGATGCGGTGTGGTGGGATCGTGAACCGAAGTTGAAAGATATTCGTTCGCACAAATCTAGAACTGCAGGGGGCACGGGTGGCCCAGTCGTCTAAGGCGCCGCGATTCGCTGTGCAAAGTTGCGTCCCCTGGACACGCCAGAAACCTATGATTGTGGGTTCGAATCCCGGTTCGCCCCGATTATGTTTCTAGGTTTGTCAGCACCATACCCGTGCTCGTGGGTTTCACCGAAGTGGTAAACGTCTGAGACCTGCATCACTTCGGGCTTTCCTCCCACATTAAGCTGACACGCCGTGATATAACTGGAATACTGTTAAAAGCGGCGTTAAACCAAACTCACTCACTAGAACTGCACATCAGTACACAAGAAAGTGTGGTCAGTCTATGACGAGACCTAATGACTGTGTAAGTCACAAGCCATGTTGGAAGGTGAGTAGATGGCAAATATTGAGTCCATATTGTTTGTTTCTTTCCTTAACGCCACACTCAGCAATATTCCAGCTACATGACGACAGCCTGTGAATAATTGAGTTTGGACCAGACAATCCAGTGATTGGCATTGTGAGCAAGATCCGTGGGATACAATAACGTGCAATTAACCAAGTCACCAGCCACACCACCCGCTCCATGTGATCCCCTCTTATGAGTAGCATAGGTTGCTAGGGACATATTCTAACCCGGACTCCCCAATGGGGACTGAGTCTGTACTAGTATACAGCAAACTACGTTTATAACGAACACGCTTATAACGAACTTACTGATATAACGAATATATTTTTTAGCCCCGGCCATTTGTTGTATGTATGTTGTATATATGCTTATACCGAACTACGGTTATTACGAACCAAAGTTAGTGGTCCCTTTGAGTTCGTTATAACCGTAGTCTGCTGTATCACATTGAGAGGTGACAACAGATATTCGGATATGACAAGGCCTGTACTGTAGGAATACAACACAACATGATCTCTGCCTGCTGATACTCAGATGTAAAGCACAATGTTACAACGATGCCAGAATTCTCTCCTACCTGCCAGAAACATATCTGTGATGACGTTGAAGTGACGGAGCTCCAAGAAGCATCCCCCGGATCTCTCGGCAAGTTCTTCGTAGAAAGGTTTGGCAGATGCTGAACTAGAGTTCGCTTTCACCCCATACACCTAGAAGTTAAGGGGTTAACTTTGAAATGATAAACCGTAAGAACATGAGGTATAGTTTGGTATGTGGCGAGGTGAAATGGGGTTTAACGTCGCGTCCAAGATTATTGCACGTATAAAGCGACGTGCATGCACATGTGTGTGCGTGTGTGTGTGCGTGTGTGCGTGTGTGCGTGTGTGCGTGGCTGCTTGAACTAGTCCGGACTGATGCCGATTTATAGTGCTAGCTCACTGAGATATCATGCCGCAGTTAAACATGAATACCCTCAGACACAGTATACTGACCAGTCATGATCGAGCCGACCAGTCCTTGTTGTGCGCCTTAATGCCGAGCGCCAGACAGGGTAACAAGAAGTACCATCTTTAAACGTCTTTTGGTATGACACGGCCGGGATCAATCCCCGTACCTTCCGCTAGCCGGGCGGACGCTCTACCACAAGACCCAGACTAGGCGTTTTCAGAGAGAGAAACCACATGCACAAACAACATCACAGTTGACATAAATGCTTTGTTTGTTTGTTCGTTTGCTGTTTAACGCCGCACTCAGCAATATTCCAGCCACATCATCGCGGTCTGTAAATATTAGAGTCCGGAACAGATAATCTCGTGATAAACACCATGAGCATGGATCTACGTAATTGGGATACGGCGACATGCATCAACGAGGTCGCCGAGCCTGACCACGCAATCCATTTAGTCACCTCTAATGCAACAAGCATACCTTGCTGGTGACCTGTCTTAGTGTGTATCAAGATGACAATAACCTTATGAAGGACCACACACCTTGACGCCCATGCCTGTCAGCACGTCCAGTTCGTCCTTCCAGTTGATGTTCTGGTCAGTGTACGATGGGGGGTGGGGTTCGGCGTCTCCGATCACCACCAGTGCTTTGGCCGACTCCTCAGACCAGTCGAGTTGCTGAGCCTTGCGGAGCACCCACTCATAACACTGCAAAATCAGTCGCGGCAAGGTAATATTTACTGCAAATCGTGAAATTAATGCATGAAGAGGAATAAAGTCTGTTTTTGTAGTCGGTTAAATAATTTGAGTTGTAAGAAGAGGATGGTGCATCTTCCCGAGGCAAGAGAGTTAACTGACTTTAAAAGTCCAGTTTCCACCCTTGCCGAACAGTGGCTATTACGAGTTATGTCCTTTCTATGCCTCTCCTATGGACCAATCAGATTCAACCTCTCGTATCACTTGCATTTGCTTCAAACAAAACGGTGGCGCCCAGTCAAGACGATCTGATTGATAATCAAGATCTATATTGTGATAAAACGAGTCTTACATCGCGAGGTGCATCAAATCACGTGAGCACCTTGATTAAAAGCATGAAAAGATTTAGAAAATATCTGTTGACAACGAGTTAGCGCTGCACATGCTTTGCAAATCCTGCAGTCGACCGAAATCTGCATGATACTTTACGAACCGGATTTCGATTTCAGTGCGCGATTTTGATTGGACTATGCATAGACTCGTTAGTCCAGCCAAAATGTAACTCCATAATACCAGACTAGTTCGGCAAGGGTGGAAACTGGACTTATATAGTCAGTTAACTCACTTGCCTCGGGAAGATTTGGGTAGTGTGGGAAGGGAAGTAACTCGAAGTTACTTGGTTCTAAATAGGACTCATAAAAAATAAATGCCTTGGACAGCTACGTATTCTTTCGCCGTTTTCCACGACTATTCCCATGAGCAACGTATTGTATTCAGAGGACATGCGCCGTCTACATGACGCACGAAACATTGTGAAATCGTGAAATGTAATTAAAACTGATTTAGAACATTAACGTATGCAGGGAGAGGAGCCCTTTTATTAAATAATCAGGTCACTAAACTCAGATAAGGGTTGAAATTGCGATAAATCTGAACAATCATTGAAATAATATTACAAATGGATCATAAACTGGACAAAACTTTCTATAAACAATCCTGAAAGAATACCAATCACTGGCACAATGGCGAGGAACATTAAAAAAAACATTTCAAAGCTTAATGTTTCCATTTTATTGTGAGGTTCCTGTACCTTGGATGCCTGACAAGATGAAACAGTCCCTGCGGACCACCTTGGAATATGCAGTACTGATACTTTTAGACAATATTAAAAACGGTTCCTACCTCGGGAGTGTCGCCGCCGCCTGTCTGCGGTACATCCATGGTGAAACTGACCAGTCTCTGGACATCTGACGTCAGGTCAATCGACCGCAGGACGTATTGGGAGTCTTGGTCACAGTAGTCTCCATGGGCAATGAGGCCGATCCTGATGGACGGGATGTCGGCGATGAGGCGCGAACACGTGTCTCGCAGCTTCCGTCGGACCTACAGAAGGTTGGTTGGTTGTTTCAGATACTAGGGAACTGAACATTGAGCATGCTTCATTGTGTAGATTAACGTTATGATTACCAAGGCTATTCACTGTGCATGGATTCTTTAAATTATTTACTTAAAATACAAATGTTGCTATCTATAAGATAAAAGTGACGCATCATATTCCTACGGAAGCATTGTTTTTTTCTTGAAATTTCAAGATACTAAGTTAAAATTTCAAGACACACAAGTTGAAATTTCAAGAAACTAATTTTTAATTCCAAGATGTTATGTTGAAATTTCTAGATACTACGTTGAAATTTCAACTTGGTATCTTAAAATTTCATCTTAGTATCTTGAAACTTCAACTTATGTATCTTGAATTTCCAACATGCCATGTTTATGTCTCAAAGTAAAGCATGTTCTTTTACGGCTGAAACGTCTTATAGCTGGAGTATTCGGCCGGGTGCGGCGTTAACATCAAAGGCACAAAAAGAGTATGGTATTTGGAAATACAATATGAATATCGTCAATGTAACGTTCAATATAAGGGAAAACCTACCTCATTTAAACAGCTGTACATGCTCCCTGTTGTGTCGAAGGAAAATACGACCTCCACTCGCCGGCCTCCATTGTCAAAACTACCCATGATCTCCTGTGAAAAGAAGGGAGACGAGTTTTTCATACTCGCTCTTACTTCGCTATATATAAGCTGAGGAGCAGAGGAAACTATACTTCTCAGCTGATTTCATCCTATGCATCCAAAAAATAAACTGTACTGGCGCTTAGTCAGCACTCAAAGAATACTTCTACATGGTTTCATTTTTTAAAACAAAATTTGATTGAAAACTTTTATAGATTAAAAGAAGAATCGCATAATACACAACTGTTGATAGGTATCTTAAACATCTTATCTTTGAAAATCAATAAATTTGCTTTTTTCGGCCCAAATTTACATTTCAAACATGGTATGGGTCATGTGAAGCAAATTCATTTCTTACCCCAGTCTCCATTGAACCCGTTTATTTTTACATACAATTACCCAGCCACAGATTACCTTTTACAGATCGTATGGTGGTGAAATAGACAACTTTAACAAAAGTTCTTTCAATTTCCAATATATAATCACGGTGTGAGAAACAGTGTGTATCGTATATTAACATGAAGATGGTCGACTTCAAGACACGATGCTCTGTACTGTTTGCAGATTGTCTTCATCAACCATATTTCTTCTTCCGACATTATGTAAATATCACTTTTACAATATATCTCTATTGGGGGATAGGGATCGTCTCACGGAAACGGTAAGTGATTAAGGAACAGATTGCTATTTACATATTAAAATATAGTTCATGATTTGATTTTGCTGTGATTTACTGACAACGGAGTTCAAACACCTCAAGCTACAACTTACACACAGGTGTTCCTGGTTGATCTCCTCAGACACCGGGGTCGCTGACGCACCCTCTGAAACATCAGTGATCACATCATGTCACAGCCCATAGCGGAAGCATCATCATACAATAAATAACTGCAACTACAACTACAATTACAATTACAACAACTACAACTGCTGATGTTACTACTTGTATAAAATGATGATTAGGATGTCGATGATTTCGATTTACTTACCCGATATTTCAGATCCGACTTTTTTAATTTCCACTTTGATAACAGAGCCATCGGTGATCCCCGCATCCAACAAAGTAACATCTAGGAGTTGTCTCCCTTCACTCTGCAACATTGATTGTTTTGTAAGTGAGTGAGTGAGTGAGTATTGTTTTACGCCGCTTTTAGCAATATTCCAGCAATATCACGGCGGGGGACACCAGAAATGGGATTCACACATTGTACCAATGTCGGGAATTGAACCCGGGTCATCGGCGTGACGAGCGAACGCTTTAATCACTAGGCCACCCGACCGCCCCGTTTTGCAAGTGTTGACAGCACACTCTGTTGGTTGGTTTGTTGTTTAACGCCGCACTCAGCAATATTCCAGCTATATGACGGCGGTCTGTAAATAATCGAGTCTGGACCAGACAATCCAGTGATTTTTACATCATGAACATCAATCCACGCAATTGGGATCGATGACATGCATCAACCAAGTCAGCGAGCCTGACCACCCGATCCCGTTAGTCGCCTTTTACGACAAGCATAGTCGCCCTTTACGGCAAGCATGGGTTGCTGAAGACCTATTCTACCCCGGATCTTCACGGGTCGATAGCACATTGTGATGTTAAAACGCGCACGACCACACAGAATACGGCACTTTATAATACAATTCTAAATATAGCCTTATACAAATTCGTTCGCTAATTCTAATCTATGTAGTCAACTAATAAAATCAATAATTAAGTTATAATGAAAATTTCCATAACGCGTTCAACCATTAGACCGATGAATGTTGTAAATGATGAATGTGTTTATTCAACTTTACGCCATTTCGAAATAGTGTATACGTTTCACAGAGGCTATTATGTAGGTTACATTAGGAAACATATACAGCGAGAGAGTTGTGAATACGCCGCTTTTAACAGTATCCCAGTTATATCACGGCGTGTAAGTTCATACAGGACAATTCAGGAAATGGTGTACTCATATTGAGAAATATATGGAGAGTCGTAGAACACGCAATAGGTTCATGCGCATTCTTCGGTGACCATATTAATAATGTGTGTGCTGTTCGTGATCACAAACTACTTCGGCAATGGATCTTTCTCTAAAGGGGGGCGGTCGGATAGCCTAGTGGTTAAAGCGTTCGCTCGTCACGTGAATACCCTGGTTCGATTCCCGACATGGGTACAATGTGTGAAGCCCATTTCTGGTGTTCCCCGCCGTGATATTGCTGTAGTATTGCTAAAAGCGGCGTAAAACCATTCTCATTCCCTCACTTTCTCTAAAGCATTTTTCTCAATTGAAGGGATGGAAGAAAAACAAAAGCTTTCACAGTCGAGTGTTTTCAAGTAATCTCATAGGAAAATGTCGGGCTTGTGGAATAAAATAAATATGAAGAGTTTATGAAAAGTATTATGGATAACCTTTCTTATTTTTACCTGCATTTAAATTTTTATTTCAGTATTGAAATTAGTTAACAGATTCAACTGAATGAAAAATAATTAAAATTTTCGGACATTAGTCCTTGGATTACTAGACCAACTCTCTAAGTAGTCGCTACCTACCTTGAGGACGACGTTGGTAAACGACACACATTCCGCCTCTGCTATTTTGTTTTGTAGGTGGCGGAAATTGTTTGTATTCTGCATGGCATACTCCTCAGTGCGGCCATCCGGGAACTTTACCAGCAAGTTCAGCAGCTTTGGAGTGACTATCTGAATACAACGAATTTATGGGTTATCAGTTATAGACCTACTCTCCTTACAACAAATATATTTAGAAATTCTTACGTAACAAAAATTGAAGGGGAGAAAGAAATGTTTCTATCACCCAAAACTGGCTTCCACAGTAGATAGCGCTTACGTGAGATAAATCGTTACCTCCTAGGATGACCTAATATAAGCTGGGCCCAGTCTCTAATGCGCAAGTTGACGACGGGAAATGTTGAGCCAATATCTTGAAAGAATAGACGAATGGATAGCTCAAAATAGGAGAAAAAGCTACACTGTGTAAAATCTGTATTTTGCTTTGTTTACATTTCAAACAAGTGCAGTTTTTCGAGCACAGCGTTCGTTTTCACACCTTACATATTTTGCTTGATTTTATCCAGCCACTTTGCATTGGTGACAAAGACCATTGGTCATTTGATTCTAAAACGTATGAGGAATGTGTGTATCGCAGCTAAGTTTGAAATATACATGATGTTACAGGCGTCTCATTACCGGTGTACCTGAAACTTAATTTTGTAAATACTTTCCAATATGGCGCAAAGTTCACTTCGGCGTTCGTGTTTGCGTATTTTACATTCGAAACGATTGTAGGATTATCGGAGACGTTTTGGAATGTTCATTGTTGATTTGATAAAAGACAGATACCCGTGATCACTAATATGCCATTTTTGAAATTCATATCTCCGAGTAAATATCCGAAACTTAGATGTCAAAACATGCTGTAAATAACGCCGTGAGTGGTGATTTAGCAATGTGTAAAAAATGGCGCCATTAACGATGTACCTAATTTTCAGAGGTCATTTTCAGTACTTTTGCTTGGCCTAAAATGCCAGTGGATGATATCATAGAACAGGGAATTTCCCACATTATTCAAAAATGTGAAGTGTACCTCCGTGCATGATGTATTTTGAATTTTATTCGACTACAAAGTGAGGGTTGTAGAGGAGGGACATATATATGTCCCTGTGGCATCCAGGGGGTTAAGGATTACCTCACAATGATTGTGACATGGACGTGACTATGACGTCACGATAAAATGGCACCATGCACTAATCACTCTGCCACTGAAGCTGGTAAACTGTATTATTTACACCCGGCAAGCTTCGGCGTTTAAAACATATATCGACTTGGGTTAATATAGTCGATATAAAAAGACACTCGGTGAGATTCTCTACAGAGCTATATGATATACGTATAATAAACAGACGACACACATACATGATTAAATAAAAAAAGCCATAGAGGCACACACCCTGTGTCGCAATATGAATATATGAAAATAAGCAGTCACTGAAGAGAGAGCGGAGTGGCAGGGGAGGGCTATCGGCCGTGGATTTTATCAATGAATGTACGGTACAGCTGAACAAAACCAGTGCGTTGTATCTTATACATGGACAACTAAACAGGCAATTGTTAGTCCCGATATCTTGAAATAACATTTACCGTATTTCCTCTACTAGACGCCCGGGCTTCTATTTACTTCGGACAAGCCTTTGACCCGGTGTCAATTAGAGGCCCGGCGTCTATTGGAGGCCCGGCTTCTATTAATACCCCCATTATGTAATTTAGGTCCCAAAAAGGGATAATTAATTGTATCAATTGATCCACCCGGTGCATGTCTATTTTTTGCACTGAACAATTGACCCGGCGTCTATTAGAGGCCCGGCTTCTATTTTTTGCACTGAACAATTGACCCGGCTTCTATTAGAGGCCCGGCTTCTATTTTTTGCACTGAACAATTGACCCGGCGTCTATTAGAGGCCCGGCTTCTATATTTTTTGCACTGAACAATTGACCCGGCTGCTATAGAGTCCCCGCGTCTAATAGAGGAAATACGGTAGACATGTAAAGAACACCATACCTCAGCCTTCAGGATAGTCTCTGCCCGAACTCCGAGATAGTCCAGCGAGAGGGACTTGTTGAGGACTTTCCCCTGGTATTTTATGCGGACCACCTCTTCAGCCACTTCCTCTTCCCGCGCGACACGCTCACAGACAGTGCGGATGGTGGCAGTCGGGAGCAAGTCATACTGACAGTTTCTGCCTGTCGGCAATTTTACATACACATCAAGACCGGACTTGGCTGCCATTTTCGTTGAAACTTTTCTGTTGCTTCTATGTCCGACAAGTTGCTAATACAAGTTTGGTTTGCGGATAAAACAAATCTTGCCATTATTAATAACACGAGGCTCCATGTACTAAATATAGCAGCCAATCAAATTTGCGTCTATTTTAAGACCCGGCAGCTCGTCTAATTTTAGATTTAGTAACGCGAACTGATTATGTTGATTAGTATTTTTTCCTGGATTATATATGTTATTATTATGATATTTACACACAGTTTGTCCATATCGCTATATATTCACGTTTCTAAAGATGTGGCAACAAGCTTACAACGACAAACGATATGCCTATTTACATGTTTCGATTTGAGGAAGGGAGGCAACTCTAATTAAGTACGTTGTCAAGAAAGTTAGGTGGTAGATCTCCCGCCTCGGAAATGCACATGTATGCTTGTATCATTTCATAAATATCACAAGAAAAAGAAGAGAAAACACAATTATAATGACTTTGTTTTAATTGGCATAATCCGTGAATTCTGAAACACACCCATAAACTAAGACCGAAATAACATAAATAGTTATATGATATATATAAAATCGAGCATGTTTTTTGTGTGAAGAAAATACATCATAATCGAATAACAAATATGTTTCCGAATAAATACGTCTCCATGTTACATGTTGTTGAACCTATCATTACACCAAGTCTGTCCATGTCCTTTCTGGTATGTACTCGAACGTTCTGTGTGGTTTGACAATAAACCTAAAATGTTATTAGCGTCTTTCTGTGATTGTATCAGCAAGAATGAATCCTCACCGTGAACCGGCTTCATTGACAGCATCGGACGTCCTACTAACATTTACGGCACTGACGTATTTCAGAAATGATGCGGAAAAACAAGAAAGGCACTGTACACAACAGTATAGACACAACACATGTCTTGTCCATAGTTTCCAATTCAGCAAAAAGTGGCGGCAGTTGTTGATGACATCAGCAGTAAAATGTCTTACAACTGCACCCCGTGGGCAGGTATAGTCTCAGTTGCCTAACCCTCTGTCCGGGGGGAGCCTTTTCACAGTACCCCCACACCTTCACCCACTCATAATCCTCCGAACATCTGCCCCCATCCCCAGAAGTGCCGGATCTATTACTGCAATTGCCGCACTGCAGACCAGGTGCGCTACAAATAGAAGAAAATAGCAATATTTTAAGGCTTTTAAAAAAAACTCTGTTGCGTTATGCATGACCTTAACGTTTGTTAAGAAATATTGGAAAGGTGCAACATCATTGACAGTGTCCGTTTAAGCCCTCTAGACTACTATCAGTAGTCGCTTTGTCCTGAGCAGTAACTGCATTCACTGTTATGTGTGGTCTGAGGACGGGTTTTCACTGTATTTTACACGGAGCCTTAGCCAACCGTATCTCTACAATTTATAAAATGTTACCATTTAATGATGTATCATACCCGCAGGACTTGTAAGATACCCGTTGGTAGTCGGGGTTGACAGTCCAACATCTCCCGCCATATAGCTTGAACATGCGCAGTGTGGTCTGCGTACTTCGACAAGTGTAGTCACTAGGAGTAGCCATCTTGAAATCGCTGTAAGGAAAACAACTTATGGTCATACAACTGCCTCGGTTTAATTGTAAAAAATTGCCGCTTTATCAGATTCGTGTTTATGATTGAGTATGGATCAACGCTGCAGTATTTCATGATTCATTTCACGTCAAAGGGACACGGCTTGTAGAAATTCGCCACTTTGGATATTACCGTGAGCACAGGTATGGTGCTGACAAACTCAGGATAATAATCAGCAAATCCGGGTGCGACTAAGGGACACAACTCCGCATTACCATGCACTGGACTACCACAACTTGGACGTGCGTACTCCGTTCATACTCATAAGGGACGACCTCAAGCAATAGGGATGCCATTGATAAAATTGAAATACAATATATTTAGTTTTCGTATTACATGTAATAAAAACTGCTGAATGGGAAATGTAAGATAGAATTTGTAAAGAAGGTTGTCGTGGCCTGGCAATCTCGCGTTGACCACCTACAGTCTCCTACAGCACGGAGACTACAGTGAGACTACGAGCCTTGAGACATCAACATCCCCGTGAAGATCCAGGTAGGAAATGGTGATCGGAGAACCCCACCCCCTCCATCCAACACTGACCAGAACCTCAGCTGGAAGGGCGAACTGGAAGTGCTGACAGGCATGGGCGTCAAGGTTTGTGGTCCTCCATAAGGTAATTGTCATCTTGATACACACTTAGGCAGGTCACCAGTTACATATGCTTGTTGCATTAGAGGTGACTAAATGAATAAGGTGATCAGGCTCAGCGACCTTGTTGATGCATGTCGCCGTATTCTTATTGCGTAGATCGATCCTATGAAGTCGATCACTGGATTGTCTGTTATAGACTCGATTGTTTTACAGACCGCAGTCATACAGCTGGCCTTTATTCTTATCATAACAACACGTTCTACAGCTGGAATATTGTGGAGTGCGGCGTTAAGCAACAACATTAACAACAACAAAATGAATAAACATTGTCAAACAAACTGCATCAACTCTCGAGAATATACTTACTAATCTCGGATATCGACTCCTCTTTAATATGTCCGAACATTGTCTGCTGGAGTCGAATCTTAACAATAAGCTGGTGTTACTGATTAATGCTGTGTCCACGTTTGAAAATATACAAGCTTACTCTTACCCATCTTTGTACCCGGTTGGGTAGACATTCTCCGAATACAAATAATCGTTGCTACGTTGGTTATTATTTCCATTCAGACTCCCAAACGGGATGAGACCAAACTGAGTGTTAGGTTGTGCGAAATTCTTGAATCCCAGAATAGGAGCTAGGAAAGTCCTCTCCCTCATCTCGGCACTGATGGCATCGCTGGAACACATAGATGGAACATGTAGAAGACACTCGAATGTGTGCTGTGCACGTTAATCGTTAGCCTTGCAGCTGAACATACCATCAAGCATTTATTTGTCTCATAGCTGCTCTACGTTCATACAATTCAGGACTGTTGTGACAAGGATATATTACAAGAGCATAATCAAGTGTACAGTGGAACCCCGCTTTCCCGTACTCTGTTAAACTGGGATTTGTTATAGTTAAGAGACATTCCGTTTATTCGTTAACCCGGAAAATTTCCCCCGGAACGGCACCGTGCGGACTAGCGAGGTTTAACTGTATACAAGTACTATCTGCGTTCTGTTGACGCTGTGTGTGTGAATATAGCAATTTAGCATCTACTTTGTGTCTCCTCTGTTATCCGGAATCAACATGACAATTATTACACTATGATTAATCAAATAGAATCAAGGTGACAAAATGTGTTACGAGAGCATTCTTGAAAATTGTTCAAAACAATTAATTGTGGTTTCTGACAGACCATTTGATATCTGGCTGAAAATGACCACCCGTTCCCCAAAATTAAATCTTGCAATGAATATACCACTCTCTTGTATATCAATAACAGGATCGGGTTGTCAGGATCACTGACTTGCTTGATGCATGTCATCGTATCCCAATTGCGTGGATCGATGCTCATTAATTCAATCACTTGATTGTATGATTCAAACTTGATTATTTACAGACCGCCGTCATATACATGGAATAATGCTGAGAGAGGCGTTAAACAACAACAACAACAACACACACACACACACACACACACACACACACACACACACACACACACACACACACACAGAGTTTTATATATTAAACGGTCGGTCTCTACAAACTCACTCGGGGTATTCGAAGGCATCACCTGATGGAGAGTACCCGGTGGAGAGGTCCTTGTACTTGTAACACTGTCCTTGAAGCCCTGGGGGTACGAAATGGGCGTGGCTCGGGTTCAGAGCCTCCAGAGCATCAGACACTGGCTGCTTCGTTGTGCTTCCCGTCAGGACCGGGACCTGTGTCCCAGATGTTTGCACGGCCTGTCTTGGAGAGAAAGTGTTTTCCTGCACGTGACGGGACCCTACTTCAGTATCGGACAGTTTAGGTTGCACCGTCGCTGAAAATTTGTTACTTGGATTTGTTGGTGGAATAGCAGGACCAGACGACTCGGCAACAATCGGTGTCTTAACAGGTACGTTATTACCAGAATGACCGGGAGGGATAATACTGGCGTCGTTCAATGTTACCGGTTTAGCTTGTGTTGTGTCGGGGATAGCTGAATTCCTATCGTCAGATGGATAAGTGCTCGTGTGACCTAATGATTGGCGAACATTTCCAGGAGATCCAGCGGCATTAGGGTAGGAAGGAAGATTTGGACTTATATTCGTAATGACCGAATGACGGGGAGGCGAGGCATCACTTCCATGAAGATTTGGGCCTGTATTGGCTGTTTGTTCTGGTGAAGCACCGTGCGATAGATTGCTGTTGTCATATGGGCTTTGCCTTCCGTTGACTCTGCTTGATCCAGCGAAAGGATATTCTTTGTATTGACTTGGATGTGTTTGATCCTGGTTGGTAGCTGCAGTTGGGAAAGATCTATATGCCTGTCCAGGTTCTAAGGTCGGATTATATCCCTCATCAGGACGTTGTCCTTGACTTTCTGGAGAAGGATGTTCCTGTTCTAGATGACCTCCTGGAGGGGTGTATTGCTCATTGTGTGATTCTCCAGACGGGGAAAAGTGTTCGCTGGATTGGTCCTTTTGAATGTCCTGACCAATCGGAAGATATTGTTGGTTCGGTTGGTCCGACTGACTTCCATGGCTCACCGGCAGATACTGTTCATTCTGCATGTCCTCTTGACCTCCATGCCCCACCGGGGAATAGTGTTGGTTTGGCTGATCCGCTTGACCTCCATACCCCACTGGGGAATACTGCTGATTCAGCTGGTCTGCTTGACCTCCATGCCCCACCGGGGAATACTGCTGATTCAGCTGGTCTGCTTGACTTCCATGCCCCACTGGGGAGTACTGTTGGTTTGGCTGATCCGCTTGACCTCCATGCCCCACCGGGGAATACTGCTGATTCAGCTGGTCTGCTGGACCTCCATGCCCCACCGAGAAATACTGTTGGTTCGGTTGGTCAGCATGACCTCCATGCCCCACTGGAGGATATCGTTGATTCGGCTGGTCCTCTTGACCTCCACGCCCCACCTGTGGATACTGTTCAATCGTTTGGTCAGCCTGAGCTTCATGATCCACAGGAGAATAACGCAGACCATTTTGACCTAAAGGTTGTTGAATAGGTTGATAATTTGAAGTTTGTCCCTGTTGTATTCCAGAAGGTGATCCAGGGTATTGACTGGTCTGATCAGCTTCTCTCCCAGGATTAGACTGTCTAGGACGTAGTCCCCGTTCATCAAACGGCGTCTCCTGACGATCACTAGGACTTCCGTATACAGGACCACGCCTCTGATCGACGCTTTGAACATGTACGGGATTGATTGGATTCGGAGGTCTAAGGGGTACACCGAACTGAGGAATGGGTGGTAATGGTGAGTTAGGGCGAGAACTGTGATTTTCTGTTGGGAATAGTCGAGAATCAGAGGACAAATCTTGCCTGCCTTGGTACTGTGATTGGCGCGGCGGTGATCTACTACCGCTATATTGAGGTACGGGCCCGTGAGAGTGCGGGTTGATCTGTCTAGGATATCCCGTGGCAAATTGATCACTGATTGGTTTTCTGTTTGTATTTGGTGACTCGAAAGGTCCACTTCCTCTTTGGTTATTCCCCTTCGATCGGGCGTTCAAATAGCCCACCGGCGTATTGCCAGTGGTTTGTAAATCTGGGTTTAAAAGGCGCGAAGGTGTTCCCGTAAAGATGCTATCCGCTGAATGATCAAAACCACCATCGGGCTTGACGTAAGGAACAATACGTCTTTGAGGACCTTCATGAGAACTCTCAGGGGAAACCTTCCTTGGATAATACCTCCCCTCTGGCAAGTGTCTTTTTCCAAACGCAGGACCTTCAATATGGCTGGGTACAGGGCTGGGTGGCCCTCTTACTAAACTAATCACATCTGGTCCAGGTTGCCCTGGATATCTTTGACGAGGGTTTGTTTCAACCGGACTGACCAGATCCCTTTGTCCAAAAGGGTTTTGTTGGGAACGTGGTAATTGGATTGGACGTTCCCTTTGAGAGAACGGATTCTCTTGGGGTCTGTTCGGGTTATATTCAGTAGAATGTTCAGGTGAATTCCGTGAGTCTCTTAGGGATCCAGATGATCCTCTTCTATCAAATGGTTCAGGGACTCTTTGTTCCAATAGGCGTACCCCTCCTTCATTGTCGGGATGTGGTTGTATGAAACCCTCCCTAGGGCCATCGGACCGGGGATCGAACCCTTGACGTCTTTGTGGATTATAACCCCTCGGTTGTTGTATTCTGTCGTCTGGGCGTCTGAACTTGTCAGGAGTGTTTCCTCTTTGTGTGAAGGAATCCGTTGGTTGGTTATTCACGGCGAATTTTTCCGGCTCAAATGAGAGTTTGTTGAGAATGGAATCAGGAGGCGACAGGTCCTGAGCCACGGACAAGCGGCCAAGGCAAACGACACACAGCAGGGCGGACTGAAACGGTAAGTTTTGCTTCATGAAAACCATATCTCTAAAAATGTGCAAAAGTATTCCAAATATGTGTGTGTGCCAATTGTGTAGTCATTTTCGAAGAAAAATGTTGGGAAAGTTATGAAAAAAATATTTTTTTGATGGAAACCGGGGCTCTTCATAGGGATGTCATATTGGGTTGAAATATCAATACACTGGATATTTTGTATATAACACATGAAATCACTTAATTTACCCACTTACTCCCTCAGAACATGCCGAGTAATATACAGCATTAAGGACATTGAGGCGTTTTCGGCTACAGTTTTCACCACTGTATTCTATATATTTTCTATTTTTCTTTTGTTTAAGAGAATCTTAAATCGTTAAACTTGAACCATTTTTATTTTCAGAATTATTAAGGTAAGGCAATACGAGACCAACTTTTTTAGTGGAAACGTAATACATGTTCTGTATTTGCACTGGATTTATTACCTGATCATATAGAATATATTAAAAATTAGTTTTTATGAAATATACAAATCAGTCAGTCGCTGTGCTTAGGGACAACTCCGTGAAGATCCGGGTTAGAATTGGTCTTCAGCAACCAATGCCTGTCGTCAAGTGGATCGGGTGGTCACGCTCGTGACTTGGTTGATGCATGCCATCATACTTCTTCCCGAGGCAAGGGCGTTAACTGACTATATAAAAGTCCAGTTTCCACCCTTGCCGAACTAGGCTGGGATTTCTAGGCTCGATCGTAGCGCCACCGGTGGCTATCGCGAGTTATTCTATGTCCTATTGACTAATCAGATTCCGTCTCTCATATCACATACATTTGCTTCAAACAAAATGGCGGTGCCAAAGTCAAGACAATCTGTTCGATAATCAAGATATATATATTGTAATAAACGAGTCTTAACCCGCGAAGTGCACCAAATCACTTGAGCACCTTGGTTAACAATATGAAAAGATTTGTAAAAATATCTGTCGACGCCCAGTTGACGGTACGCATGCTTTGCAAATCCTGCATTCGACCGAAATCTGCGCGTTGAAATCCATGTTGTTTACGAACCGGATGTCTCTTTCGTTACGCGATTTTGACTCGTTAGTCAAGCCAAAATGTAACTCCGAAATTCCAGCCTCCCAGCCTAGTTCGGCAAGGGTGGAAACTGGACATTTATTGTGAGTAAACGCCCTTGCCTCAGGAAGAATTGCAGTTGCGTAGATCGATGTTCATGTGAAACAAACAACCCTGCCTGGCGCTCGGAATTAGAGGTGGTGAAGGTGAGGTGAAATGGGGTTTAACGTCGCGTCCAAGATTATTGCACTTATATAGCGACGTGCATGTACGTGTGTGTGTTTGTGTGGCTGCTTGTACTAGTCCGGACTGATGCCGATTTATAGTGCTAGCTCACTGAGATACCATGCCGCCGTTTAACATGAATACCCCACTCAGACACAGTATACTGACTCCGAGCCGACCAGTCCTTGTTTTAGCCCCTTAATGCCGAGCGCCAGACAGGGTAACAACAAGTACCATCTTTTAACGTCTTTTGGTATGACGCGGCCGGGGATCGAACCCCGGACCTTCCGCTCTACCACAAGACCACGGAGGCGGTCCGGAACACAAGGCCTATTCATGTTAAACTGCTGCATGGTATCTCAGTTGGCTAGCACTCTAAAATCGCTATCAGTCCGGACTAGTGCAGGCACACACACACACACACACACACACACACACACACACACACACAGGCACACACAGGCGCGCGCGCACACACACACACACACACACACACACACAAAGTTTTAAATATTAAACGGTCGGTCTCTACTAACTCACTCGGGGTATTCGAAGGCATCACCTGATGGAGAGTACCCGTTATCCGGAATCAACATGACAATTATTACAATATGATTAATCATAGAATAAAGGTGACAAAATGTGTGTCGAGCATTCTTAAAAATTGTTCAAAAACATTAATTGTGGTTTCTGACAGACCATTTGATATCTGGCTGAAAATGACCACCCGTTCCCCAAAATTAAATCTTGCAATGAATATACCACTCTCTCGTATATCAATAACAGGATCGGGTTGTCAGGATCGCTGACTTGCTTGATGCATGTCATCGAATCCCAATTGCGTGGATCGATGCTCATTAATTCAATCACTTGATTGTATGATTCAAACTTGATTATTTACAGACCGCCGTCATATACATGGAATATTGCGTTAATAGTGTGGCGTTAAACAACAAACACACACACACACGCACGCACGCACGCACGCACGCACGCACACACACACACACACACGTGAATGCACGTCGCTATATCAGTGCAATAGACCCCATTTTACCTCACCACCCCTCCCTCTCTCTCGTCCCCCCTCCCCCTAAAATAGAGTTTGGTATTTCATTTGTATTAAAACATATCTTTGATAATATCATTACAAACGATAATTCATCAGAAACAGAATATTAAATACAACAATTATGAAAAGATCCATTAAACACTTACCTTGATTAGAAACAAAATGCTTATTTATGCATACACAATTTAATAATGATCTTGATTAAGTACCATCATTCAATGTCCCGTTAAAAAACGTGTAACGTCAACGATCAATTAATTCAACAACTAACATGGCTTGTCAAATGTGTGTACCTACCAACATTCTCCTCCCGATCCCGATCTAAGAATGACCCCTACAAACGTCCATCCAAACTTGTCCGTTCACCAAGCCTGTCATAAATACACATTCAGATAGCTTTTATAGGTATCTGGACTTGCAAATTGCAGGGTATCGCGACAACAGCGGGTGGCGTCTGCTTAAGAACTGTGGTTTACCGCAGTTGTCATATAACAATTTCACAAGTACTTAAAGTAGCCACAATTATGTTACCTTTAAATCAAATGTCATAAAATTTTCAGCCATTCTGGAGTCATTAAAAACCAGAATACGCCCCTTCCTTTCCAACCCAGTGACTTGCCAAAGGTTAGAGTGTGTCATCAATGGACAACAAACTTATAAGGAAGACAATTATTAGATTTGAACCTCACTTTATTGATATATGCAACATTAATATGCAACATGTCAATTTAACGAAAATGCAAATTGTAAGGAGAAAGGATCGAGATTTTTGTTTACATTAATAATTAATAATTTATTCATAATTAGTAAAATGTACATAAATTCATGCATAATTTAGTTAGTAAAAGAGGTTCTTGAGTCGTAAACATATTATATTTTGACATATTGTGTATTTAGTATTCTTTTCTTTATATGAAATATATAATTCTTTTGATAAAACAAAAAAAATATTTTCTGGATTGGCTTTTAAAGTTGTGGAAATGTTCATATACGACGAGGCAATGAATGAATTCTTTCTGGGAGATATTTTACAACTGATTAATTTTGTCAGGTAACAATCCATGAAAATGAAAATGTCATACAAAGAAAGGAATTAGGCGGTGTCCTGGCATTATCAAACGGGAGAAATATAAATGTCATTGATTATTGATAAGATGACAGCTGTCAAACTGAGCCATCAAAACGCCAATCAGTGTATAATCACCTTTATATGCAGAGGATATAAACAACAAGAAGGTTTAGCTGTACATTTCGAAAATAACACAATGGATTTGACAAGAAAAAGAATGTGTGTCACATTACATATCCTCAACAATACTGAAGGGACTATAAGCCGCTTCACACTATCTGAACGGTTATTTGAAGCAATGGAGCTGAGGAGAAACAAATGTTCTTCTTAATTTTGTTTACTAGATAAATTCTTATTAATGGTTATGATAATCATTTTATACTACCTCATTATCATACATTAATAATTTATATGTTCCCACTGCTCCAGGTTAATTATCACACGATGTTTATAGCTTCAGCCATCCCTTGGTGCATGAAAACAGCTGTTTGGTTTTGTGGCTGTCAGTCAAGCATGGCAGTTATATACCTGTACGGTCGGGAATGTATCTCTGGGTTTGATGTATTAAGCTTTATTTCACCGTCTTGAAGGTTGTGTGGACTGTATAGTATCACAACGACTCGACCCGACCCCATCTCGTTAAGACATCGCCTGGTTCGAGATGCAGGAGATATGCACAGTGCATTCCCATATCACATCGGCGCGTGCAAGCCGTCAAGTGCATCACACGTGGGAGAATATTTTTTGTACTTTCTAGTCAACAATCGTCGTGATTTTTATGGCGCCTGTTCAAGAGTCAGCATATCGGAACGAAACACACCAAAAATATCTTAGTGTAACTTTTCTTGTGCCTGGTGATGTTATGCTTTAAGGAATAATGTAGCGCAAATGTTATATGGATGTTCTTATTATAATCACCTTTCACGAAATGCTGATACGATATGGGATAATAGTTATATATAGTTACAGTAATACAGATATATTTGTGAATATATTAAGATTTCAGTCAATAGTTGATCGATATCATCTCACATCGCCTAACATATATTTGGTAGGTATGTGGATATAATAGGTAAAGTGGGCTGACACCGTTTAAGTATGGGGGCTCCGATAGGCATAACGCTACAACCGTTTCATACTTTTCTTGCTTTAGCCTATCGCGCCGTTCCGTCACGGTCACGCAGGCACCCAAGTCGGGGTTGTGTTTTATGATTCTGAACGCAGCTATAAATTGACCTCGTTAACAGTTAAGACGCGTGAAAGTAAAAATTCATGAGGTGAATTATATTTACTATCACCTACTGTTGCTATGGAAACTGAATAAAACGCATATTCCTTTCGAGTCGTTTTAGATTCATATCACCGTGCCCTAGGTGAAGATCGGGGATGTGTACAACTGATAGGAATCTCGCCAACTCAAACAGCAAATACACCAAGTTTCGTATGTTAAGAAAATATAAAATAACATCTCTAGCTTAACACAAGAAGACGAATGAATTCCAGCTGGAACTCGTGTGTAGAGCTGCAGTCACCAAACCCATTATTGCGCCTGTTACTTTTCTTAAATAAAATTCCACAAGGATATGTAATATTTCGCGAGACTATTCCTGAAAACTACAGAAAACTATTTTAAACCTCACTTTCAGCAGGTCATGCCATGTGCTATCTTTATGTGTATTTAACGCTTGTAGGATATGCGATCCCAGTGCAGTGGAACGCGCCGCTGAATTCTCCTCGTGCTTGGAACCAGGTTGAATGATACAAGCAGCGTAGACCGTAACGCTTATTGATAGCTTCACGCACAAACAGGACAACTGTCGTTGTGTTTTATTATTTTTATTAGTACGTAAACATTTTAGCATATAAAAGTGAAAGAAAATAGCGTTTCATTCAGTAACATGTCAACTTTCATAAAATACAGATTGTTTTCAAATATTTTCAAAAATATTCATCATAATATATTGACACGATTAATGATATATCCCATATACGATTATAGAATTACACAGAAAGATTATTAATATACATAAATAAAACTCAATGATCTTTGCATTGCAATGGGTACTTGCTGTGTTATTTACAAATAAAATCAGAAGGCAGAGAGACAGCTGTCCAACATGTAGAGCAATGCCTCAGAGTTGCTGGAACTAAGGCTAAACTATATATTGTCAATGTGTGAACACATGGACTGTAAGAAATAGAACACCTGCTACCCGGGGCCACGTCCACAAAGCGATCTGAGCACTATGTCGATCGTAACGCCCAAACCTTAACACTGGTTTACAGTCGTAGTCCGAAGAAGGCTTTGTGGATGCCGCCCAGGGCCATGTTCCGAACAGAGACCTTAGCCCTACGATGTTTCGAAAGTCTTTGTTAATGAAGCGCTAAAATCACTTTGTCGAACGGCCAAGTTCTATAGGACGCTACCTGTTGTAAGCCCTTCGGTGGAAGCAGTCTCCCATGAATCCTACATTTGAGTGAGAGATTTGGTGTAAGCCGCTTTGAACATTCTCATTAATATTGCCATAATCAGAGACCATATACCGGTATATGGTCTCTGCCATAATATATATGTGCACGAAAACGTAGTTTGAGAGGACTAAACTGACGCTGTCCTTGACGTTTACCCCTTTCATGAACGTCACTGTTAGCTAAGAATGCTAATGTTTTCTTCTAAATGCGAATATTTCTATAATTCCAGCCTCATGATGATAAACTAGTGTTTACAATCATTATATTAATACCGTGTTTCTTAAAGGTATTATTCACTATGGAATACAGGATGATTACAATAAGCTTATGACCGTAGACGATAGCAACGACGTAGATGTAGAGCTACAATGCACGTTTCCACACACAGTGAAACCTCTTTATTCCGGACGGCACCTTTCCGAATGAATGCGAGACATACAAAAATCCAAATGACGAGGCAAGGTCACAGAGAAGGTCATTTTGTTAATGTGGACGGTCCTTTACGGTATTTGCCCGGAACGCGGTGTCCGGATGACCGAGGTTTCACTGTACGCACGATAGTTGAAGTTGTGACATCGGATCCGCTGTTGCAAACGCCACGGTCAGTATAGCAGAATAAACAATGCCATTATATAAAACATAATGGTAATGTGTAAACAATCATTTTTTTTATTAAAGAAATAGATGTATAGCCAATATCTCTTACCAAATAGGTCTAAACGCTGAAGTATGTTATGCTTTTAAAAACATTGAAATGTCAGCTCTTTTGTGAAAAGCTGAGACGTAAAAAGGCAAGGTACGGATTTGTGTTGATGAACCACAAACAGTAAACAATATAATTCCTTGTAACTGTTCCGAGCAGAATAGTCAGCCATGACATCCTATCCAGCAAGGCGTGTAAAGAAAGAATGTGTAAATGACGCTTTGGATGTCGTTACCAGGCCAACATGATAAAACATTTGCACTCTTCATCACAGGAAATAGGTAAAGAGGAATGGTGGGTAAATATATCATAATAAATGTACATGGTATACTGACATTCCGGACACGGCCGATGTGTTCCGATGTATATACAGCCGACGGCTTCATCTCCACTCGCATTATTCCGTAACCGATGTGGCTTTTTCCGTAATGACACGAGTGGTCACGAATGCTGCCAACGTGCACTTGATGTCTACGATGATAAAATAGTTTTACTCCCACATGTGTCTCTGACAGTTGACGTAGGTCGCTGACACCGTTGCTGTTGACGTTGACGTTGATGACCGAGGATCGTGTCAGGAAGGTAAGTAGTGAACGGAGTCTCCAATTAGATGAGATGTCGAATGGAGAAACTATTGCGACGTGAACTCAGGTACATCGAGGACTGACAGACCTATACACAGTGAAATCTCCAAAGGCCGGACCCCGTTAATCTGGAAACCCCGCGATTACAAGGTGATATTGCTCCGTATATGATTCTCTAATTCGGACATTTGTTAATCCGGTCGATCCCAGATATAGAAATATAATAGTCGGGTATACGAAGGCGACGCATTCAAGGTCATTGTTTTCCCTTAAACCTGAAATACACACTCTCAGTCGATTTCTTTCTGAGATCTATTGCCACAAATACTTGGAAAATTGTAATAACTAAATTGTTGGATTGGCTTTGAAGAAGAATGTAAGAACCAACATCGAAACATCGCTACATCCAATAAATCAAAAGTTGTTATCCAAACAGTTGTACGTTTTGTTATGTATTTACTAAAACTATGCATTCCGTACTCTGTAAATGTACATATCATTACTTCGCAATCGACAAGTTCTTTTCTGTAAATATTAGCTCTCGCGGTGATGCGTTGTCAAAATATCTGTTTAATCAGAGGTGTTTATAGTGATTTGAAACCTCTGATTGACTATTCAGAAAAGAGTATTTTCCATGCACGGTTAAATAAACATCGCGTCTTGTATGCTTACATAAACGTTAGATAAAAATACCTTTATGCACCTTTGTAATCTTTGCAATAGAAGGACGTCGACTCAATCAGCGAACAACGGAACACTGGACTAAGTGAAAGTCGTTCAGAACACATACGTTGACATACTGATGGGGTTGTTTTATAGGTAAAATACGGTTCGACATGATAGGCTTAAGGCGACGTGTCTTTAAGGAGCCTAAACGGTCTATCTCTACATGTATGACTCTACATGCATAACATGTTTGTATTGTTACATTTTACCAGTACAAAATACGATTGTTCAAAATATAACTGTACAATATGAATGTCGTATCATTTTATCACTGGTCACATGACGGTTATATTAATTAATTTAGAAAATCATACACGGTTTGGCGAACTTAACATATGAACTAAGATATGCTTCATATACTATCTGTCCAATATTTACAGGTTGAAAAGTAAACACTATAATTCTGCATTCAGTAAACAATTCATATTCGTATGTCCACTATCTTATACGTGTACGTGACTCCCGTTATGTTAAAGCATAAGATACCATAACATACGAAACATTAAATTCGAGGTAAGATATATGTTACATGGAATCTACAAACAATACCTCCTAATATAGGGGCAGATGTTGCCGTGAGATGAGCAGATCCTCTTACCAGAAAATAAAGACGAGGGAACAGAATTAACTGGATTCCGTTACAAGTAACTACTTCCTACAACAGCTGCTATAGCTTTGCTTCTGATGTTGGGAGATTGCTCAATGGCGATAAAAAGCCATATTTCTACAGAATTGTTCTTCTGACAAAACCTATTCTCATCCCAGCCTCGACTTGGCTCGCCAAACGGTCCTGTCAATCACGGGGTCCTGTCTTGTAACGGAGAGCGTCGCCTTTTTCTGCTTCTGTCAGGAATTCCATTACTTGACATGCGCATCTTCAACGCAAATAATTCAGCACTTAACCTTTTTCCTGATAAGGTTGATTAAATATACATAAAAAAGTCACATTAAAAATAACTTGAAGTGACATAAAGTTTCTGAAAATACCGAAATTACGCCGACCTTTCAGCTTTAGCCATCATATGACAAATTGTTTTTACTCAAGTACGGTAACACCGCCAACATCAGATGGTATGTCAGCCTCGTTTTAATGAATTTGCCAAACCTCGTTTTGAAAATCGCTAATATACCCGACTACCCCCGAATGATCGTTCTAATCATCAGTATCGTCCCTTGTTTGGTCGGCCATGTCGTAATATGCATACATAGGGGTGAAGACGAGGTCGCCCTGGGTGTAGTCGGTGTCGTCCTTGTCTTTAATGTTGACACGACCGAAGACACACTCCTCGTAGCTAGGTGGCACTGTGTGTAAGAAAACAACCATGGATTGTAATTAATTAAACAATTAATAAGGATTTTCATTATTTTAGTGTATACTTTCAATCGTGACATTCTGATCATATTCCGTTGCCAGTGTCTAACATTCACTGTATATATCTAACAACACTCTCATTTAAATCAGATCTTAGTTCTCGCTACTGCTAAACAAAGACCTGAGGACATCCCATTAGGGGTCACGTCATCCGACCAATAAGAGCGTCGCTTACCAGATCATGAAAGTGACAGTCGGAATGTGATTTCTAATCATGCAACCTCGAAAACTTTAACATGGGGTATTCCGAACGATAGTTACGGGCTTAACGACTGAATTCATACATTCTAGACCATCTATTAGCCATTCCAGAATTTTTGTTTGTTCAGGTTTCAAATTTTTAATCGAGAATTTGTCATAATATGTTTCGAAGCGTAGTCGCCAATTTGAAATTAGTGCCGTAAAGCACGAGAAAGCTGCCTTCTGAATGGCTAATGTCGACTTCTTCTCAGTCATTCCATTGGTCGGTCAAAGTTCGCGCAAGGTCGTTCTGACGTGACCCGTAATGGGATGTCCTCAGATCTTTGTTTAGCGGTAACGAGAGATTTTAATGAGACTGATCTAAAAATGACTATGACTGTAACAACATATTATTATTTTTTAATTCGCGGGGAATGTTGAGTAAACTATCCGATTATGTTAACGCATACCCGAGCAACTAAGGGCATCAGCCACTGGTTTGAAGGCGTAGGTTCGAATATTTGCATAAAACCTATAATACTCTCTGCGTCGGCATGATTGTGGCATAAAGCATCAATCACTGTATGAATTGTTGTATCTTCAGCATGATAGATCTCTAATCTGATATAAACTACCTGGCAAAAGAAAGTATACGCCCATGTTTGATGGTGGCCAAAACAAACAGAAAGGAAATTGTTATTTGATGGTGATGTGTTTGATACGGATATCGTGGGCGATATTACATGCATCTTATCAATGAGTATCTCACAACTTGTGACGTGTACATCAGACAAAACATTCATGAGTGAAGTGTGAATTTTCAAGTGGTTTCTTTCTTTTGTCCGACAGTTAATTTGTATTGGTGCTAAATATTAACACCTGAAGAAAATATGATTGAGAATGAAATTGATTTTAAATAATAATAATAATAATATAAAAAAAACAAATAAAATAAATAATAATAATAAACAACCCATTTTCGTATTAATATGAAATCTCTGCTTAAAGCAGAGTCGAATGTACGATTCCGACTACATCATGAGCATGTTTTTGAATCACTACCAAATAGTGATGATACCAGGTGGCACGCGTCACAAACACATGCAAAGGCAAGTCAAATACAAGTACTTCATCACTCCTATTGATCATAACGTTTACCAAGGTCGATTTATTACATTCGTGCAGGCTATATTTATCTTCTTTCACGTACATATACACCGCCATGACAAACATGAACTCCATCGCAACGACGCACGAAATCTCAGACACTGGAAAGAAGGTTGCTAGACTTACATTGCTGAATGAGTTTGGTTTTCTTTGCTTTCGCTGCTGCTACTGCAACTGTGTCTTTGGATGAGAAGGGCGTGTAGTAGGGTGGTGGCTCGACGGGTAGGGGGTGGGGCATGAAGGTCCCTGGGGTGGGCCCACACATGGGGATGGTGCCGATAATTATTTCCTTGTCAAACTCTATCGCGTCACAATTACATCCATCAGTCTCACAGATGAACTATAAGAAAAAACTATAAATAAATACTAGTAGTACAGTGAATCCCCATCTCACAGATGAGTGATTGAGTGAGTTAGGTTTTACGCCGCTTTGAACAGTATTCCAGTTATATCACGGCCTGTCAGTTTAATGTGGGAGGAAACCCCGAAGTGATGCAGGTCTCAAACAAGCACACAGAAATAGGTTTCTGGTCTGCCTGAGAGACGCAGTTTTGCACAGCGAATTGCGGCGCCTTAGACGACCCGTGCCTCCTCACAGGTGGGCTATAACAGAAAACAATAAATGTGAACAACCATGAGATCACGGACCTTATGGTTGAAAAATCAAATTTTGACTTCTCATTTTACAATAAAACTACAGTCACTTAGAAACACAAATATACAACAAGCTTCAATTCATATTTATTACAGAGTTACATGGCATCAAACGTTTGAACTCATTTTCTGCAAAGCCCCATTTTCAAATTTGATGTAGTTGATGTAGCCTGATTAATTGAATGTAGACATGTTTGCTGAAATGTTTTGAAATAATGTTTTTATTAAATTACCAACTAACGAGAGAGCAATAATATTTTTGTACAGACCGCACACCTTAAGTTGACGTCAAAAGCACAGCTGTATCCAAACACCAATAAGGTCCCTTTTCTCCTGGTGGGTCACAATTATTTTGTACACCCGTCTGAAACCCCGTGTCCCCTTTGTCACCTCTAACATGCATATGACGTTCGCAAGGTCATGACATGCAGCTACATATTGTCACACTGACCTGTAATACATATTTGGTATCTATGATGCTGCAGCCTGCGAGATGAGACGGGGGAAGAGGGGGGATAGTAAACGCTTCAGTCCAGATGTCTTCATTCCCCGTGCTCAATCGATCACGTTTTAGCCTCGTTATCACTTTCTTCTCCTGGCGGGACTTTCGATCTGCGTGGTACGACATCACCTGGAGAGACGAGAACAAGATAATCAGCGCCAGTCCAACATTTACTAATAATCTTACCTTGACTAGGTCAGGCCAACATTTACATATGATCTTACCTTGACTATGCCAGATCAACATTTACTAATAAGGTTACCTTGACTAGGTCAGACCAACATTTACTAATAATCTTACCTTGACTAGGTCAGGCTAACATTTACTTATGCTCTTACCTTGACTATGCCAGACCAACATTTACTAATAATCTTACCTTGACTATGCCAGACCAACATTTACTAATAATCTTACCTTGACTATGCCAGACCAACATTTACTTATAATCTTACCTTGACTATGCCAGACCAACATTTACTAATAATCTTACCTTGACTATGCCAGACCAACATTTACTAATAATCTTACCTTGACTAGGTCAGACCAACATTTACTAATGATCTTACCTTGACTAGGTCAGACCAACATTTACTAATAATCTTACCTTGACTAGGTCAGACCAACATTTACTAATAATCTTACCTTGACTAGGTCAGGCCAACATTTACATATGCTCTTACCTTGACTATGCCAGACCAACATTTACTAATAATCTTACCTTGACTAGGTCAGACCAACATTTACTAATAATCTTACCTTGACTAGGTCAGGCCAACATTTACATATGATCTTACCTTGACTATGCCAGATCAACATTTACTAATAAGGTTACCTTGACTAGGTCAGACCAACATTTACTAATAATCTTACCTTGACTAGGTCAGGCTAACATTTACTTATGCTCTTACCTTGACTATGCCAGACCAACATTTACTAATAAGGTTACCTTGACTAGGTCAGACCAACATTTACTAATAATCTTACCTTGACTAGGTCAGGCCAACATTTACTAATAATCTTACCTTGACTATGCCAGACCAACATTTACTAATAATCTTACCTTGACTAGGTCAGACCAACATTTACTAATACTCTTACCTTGACTAGGTCAGACCAACATTTACTAATAATCTTACCTTGACTAGGTCAGACCAACATTTACTAATAATCTTACCTTGACTAGGTCAGGCCAACATTTACTAATAATCTTACCTTGACTAGGTCAGGCCAACATTTACATATGCTCTTACCTTGACTATGCCAGACCAACATTTACTAATAATCTTACCTTGACTAGGTCAGACCAACATTTACTAATAATCGTACCTTGACTAGGTCAGGCCAACATTTACATATGATCTTACCTCGACTATGCCAGATCAACATTTACTAATAAGGTTACCTTGACTAGGTCAGACCAACATTTACTAATAATCTTACCTTGACTAGGTCAGGCTAACATTTACTTATGCTCTTACCTTGACTATGCCAGATCAATATTTACTAATAATCTTACCTTGACTAGGTCAGACCAACATTTACTAATAATCTTACCTTGACTAGGTCAGACCAACATTTACTAATTATCTTACCTTGACTGTGCCAGACCAACATTTACTAATAATCTTACCTTGACTAGGTCAGACCAACATTTACTAATAATCTTACCTTGACTAGGTCAGACCAACATTTACTAATAATCTTACCTTGACTAGGTCAGACCAACATTTATTAATAATCTTACCTTGACTAGGTCAGGCCAACATTTACATATGCTCTTACCTTGACTATGCCAGACCAACATTTACTAATAATCTTACCTTGACTAGGTCAGACCAACATTTACTAATAATCTTACCTTGACTAGGTCAGGCCAACATTTACATATGATCTTACCTTGACTATGCCAGATCAACATTTACTAATAAGGTTACCTTGACTATGCCAGACCAACATTTACTAATATTCTTACCTTGACTAGGTCAGACCAACATTTACTAATAATCTTACCTTGACTAGGTCAGGCCAACATTTACTAATAATCTTACCTTGACTATGCCAGACCAACATTTACTAATAATCTTACCTTGACTAGGTCAGACCAACATTTACTAATACTCTTACCTTGACTAGGTCAGACCAACATTTACTAATAATCTTACCTTGACTAGGTCAGACCAACATTTACTAATAATCTTACCTTGACTAGGTCAGGCCAACATTTACTAATAATCTTACCTTGACTAGGTCAGGCCAACATTTACATATGCTCTTACCTTGACTATGCCAGACCAACATTTACTAATAATCTTACCTTGACTAGGTCAGACCAACATTTACTAATAATCGTACCTTGACTAGGTCAGGCCAACATTTACATATGATCTTACCTCGACTATGCCAGATCAACATTTACTAATAAGGTTACCTTGACTAGGTCAGACCAACATTTACTAATAATCTTACCTTGACTAGGTCAGGCTAACATTTACTTATGCTCTTACCTTGACTATGCCAGATCAATATTTACTAATAATCTTACCTTGACTAGGTCAGACCAACATTTACTAATAATCTTACCTTGACTAGGTCAGACCAACATTTACTAATTATCTTACCTTGACTATGCCAGACCAACATTTACTAATAATCTTACCTTGACTAGGTCAGACCAACATTTACTAATAATCTTACCTTGACTAGGTCAGACCAACATTTACTAATAATCTTACCTTGACTAGGTCAGACCAACATTTACTAATAATCTTACCTTGACTAGGTCAGACCAACATTTACTAATAATCTTACCTTGACTAGGTCAGACCAACATTTACTAATAATCTTACCTTGACTAGGTCAGGCCAACATTTACTAATAATCTTACCTTGACTAGGTCAGACCAACATTTACTAATAATCTTACCTTGACTAGGTCAGGCAAACATTTACTAATAATCTTACCTTGACTAGGTCAGACCAACATTTACTAATAATCTTACCTTGACTAGGTCAGACCAACATTTACTAATAATCTTACCTTGACTAGGTCAGACCAACATTTACTAATAATCTTACCTTGACTAGGTCAGACCAACATTTACTAATAATCTTACCTTGACTAGGTCAGACCAATATTTACTAATAATCTTACCTTGACTAGGTCAGGCCAACATTTACTAATAATCTTACCTTGACTAGGTCAGACCAACATTTACTAATAATCTTACCTTGACTAGGTCAGGCCAACATTTACTAATAATCTTACCTTGACTAGGTCGGACCAACATTTACTAATAATCTTACCTTGACTATGCCAGACCAACATTTACTAATAATCTTACCTTGACTAGGTCAGGCCAACATTTACTAATAATCTTACCTTGACTAGGTCAGACCAACATTTACTAATAATCTTACCTTGACTAGGTCAGACCAACATTTACTAATAATCTTACCTTGACTAGGTCAGACCAACATTTACTAATAATCTTACCTTGACTAGGTCGGACCAACATTTACTAATAATCTTACCTTGACTAGGTCAGACCAACATTTACTAATAATCTTACCTTGACTAGGTCAGGCCAACATTTACTAATAATCTTACCTTGACTAGGTCTGACCAACATTTACTAATAATCTTACCTTGACTAGGTCAGACCAACATTTACTAATAATCTTACCTTGACCAACATTTACTAATAATCTTACCTTGACTAGGTCAGACCAACATTTACTAATAATCTTACCTTGACTAGGTCAGACCAACATTTACTAATAATCTTACCTTGACTAGGTCAGGCCAACATTTACTAATAATCTTACCTTGACTAGGTCAGACCAACATTTACTAATAATCTTACCTTGACTAGGTCAGGCCAACATTTACTAATAATCTTACCTTGACTAGGTCAGGCCAACATTTACTAATAATCTTACCTTGACTAGGTCAGACCAACATTTACTAATAATCTTACCTTGACTAGGTCAGACCAACATTTACTAATAATCTTACCTTGACTAGGTCAGGCCAACATTTACTAATAATCTTACCTTGACTATGCCAGACCAACATTTACTAATAATCTTACCTTGACGACGAGGTCAGGCTAACATTTACATATAATCTTACCTTGACTATGCCAGACCAACATTTACTGATAATCTTACCTTGACTAGATCAGACCAACATTTACTAATGAGCTTACCTTGACTAGTTCTGACCAACATTTACTAATGAGCTTACCTTGACGAGGTCAGACCAACATTAACTAATAATCTGACCTTGACTAGGTCAGACCAACATTTACTAAAGAGCTTACATTGACGAGGTCAGACCAACATTTACTAACAATCTTACCTTAACTAGGCCAGACCAATATTTACTGATGATCTTCCCTTGACGAGGCCAGACCAACATTTACTAATAATCTTACTTTGATTAGGTCAGATCAACATTAACTGATGACCCCAGCTTCATTATGTAAAAAGAAAGGACAAGTGCTTCTATTTTGTACTTACTTTAATGGTAACATATTTAAGTCAAGTAAACCAGTACCCTTATTTTTAACAGACCTGAATTCTTAATATAGTAACAGAACGTATAAACTTGTTTGTAGTCAGTATTCTACAGCCAATCCGGTTATTCTCTTTCCCCTTGGCATTTTCGAATATTTCAACGGACGGAATGTATGTATAGGGATTCCGGAATACGTCAGCGGGAATTCAGGTGATGGACTTATCCGAGAACATGTTTATTAGTAGTTGAGACACCTTTAAACAAACTCTACAAAACTCCCCTAAATATAATTGGCCTCGTGATGGTGAGTTGATCTCTCAACTATCTTAACTGGCAGCATAGTTTGGCAACACACACGCTTTGGGTTCACACGAATAAATAATATTTGTTTCCTCTGTGGCTCAAGAAGAAACCCATAAGTACTACATAAACACTGTGATCTCACTGGAGACACATAAAGCTATGCTTGACTGCATCCTCGAACTATCTCAGTACAATAGAGACATTCTTTCAAGATAACAACCCAACATATTGTTAACGGAAAAAGTATGCCAACAAAAACTATTTTCCTTACGAACTTCAAGACAACTAACTCTCCGATCTAAAGCATTATATTTCTGAAGATGTAAATATATTTAATCAGTAGTAACTATTCGCTCAGCGGCTAGGGTGTCCTTTTCCACTTTTTGAGTAAGATCTTAGGCCGCGTTAGCAATATGTCAACTATATGACGGCTGTGAATAATATACATGAATATCCAGGGTTGCTTGTTATTACCCTGTTAACAGCTGATGATGTAGGCAGTCCCTTGATTCACCACAACATTGATTGGTTTGTTTGTTTGTTTGTTTGTTGTTTAACGCCGCACTCAGCAATATTCCAGCTATATGACGGCGGTCTGTAAATAATCGAGTCTGGACCAGACAATCCAGTGATTGACATCATGAGCATCGATCCATGCAATTGGGATACGATGACATGCATCAACCAAGTCAACGAGCCTGACCACCCGATCCCTTCAGTCGCCTCTTACGACAAGCATAGTGGCCTTTTACGGCAAGCATGGGTTGCTGAAGACCTATTCTATTGGTTTAGTACATGTACAGACAAGGTCTAAACTGTTTTGATCTTAGTTGTCTCCTGGCAGTGCGAAGGATGTACTTTTTAAATTTCAGTGAATCAGTATAAAAACTAAATGACACAGTACGTGACTGAGGTACAGATAGACGTAAAAATGACCGCGTGATGGTCACGTATGAGTGAGTATGGTTTTACGCCGCTTTTAGCAATATTCCAGCAATATCACGGCGGGGTACACCAGAATGGGCTTCACACATTGTACCCATGTCGGGAATCGAACCCGGGTCTTCGGCGTGACGAGCGAACGCTTTAACCACTAGGCTACCCGACCGCCCCGGTCACATATGATAAAAAAAGAGAAAAGTTTGCAATAATTCCAACCTTTAGTGAGCATGATACGTGGTTCTCTTCTGCGAAACGCTTGCATTAAAAATATACTTGGGTCATCACTGACTGGGTTGATCAAATGATAGCTTCATGGTTCTATGCGCCCTATAAGTGTACAGTGGTACCTCTGCAAAGCAAGCTGATTCCCTCTCGTTTTAATAATATTAGGACAAATGCATAAAAAATAATTGGTTCTCATTTTTTGGACTCTAAAAAAATATTGTTCATAGGACATGATGGATGGTCTGAACAACTATGTGTTTTGGAAAAAATTATGGCATAAAGAAATGTTTAGCTATCCCTTTCCGAGAAACAGAAGGATTCTGTCTCAAACAACGAGTATTAATTGGTCGGTAAATTAACTTTTTGAAGTACACAAGTGATGCTGAAATGCTCTGTAGATCTGGTGAGATGAGTAACGGTGTCTGGTGGGATACGAAACAGCTGTTTCACGTCAGACAGAGGGTTACGCCATCACATTGTAACACAATCCATACCTCGGCAACAACCGTGACACCACCATTACAACACCACTTGGCCAGCAGAGCGCGTCATGAGTTTCTATTTTCAAGCCACGTAAGCTTTTTGCCACAACACTCTGTTTACCAGTCTGTGACACGCAGTCGAAATTAGGGGTTACATGTTGGTTAACATGGACATTACTCTCCTGGACGGCGTTCCGCAAAGGATCAAATCCCAGCTTTGTGGAACAAGATCCAGGTCTACTCAGTGGCTTGATGGTCTCTGCAAGATGGGAGTGTTACAGATACTCTGGAACTTGAATTATGCAACACTTTGCATAATTCCAGTTCCAGAGTATTTTTCGAACTTTGGATTGACTGCCCATAAGGTTGTGGTATGGATTTCGCCACTTTTGTCATTTATTGTGTTATTAACTTAAAGATTTCTGTATATTCAATGAACAGTTACGAGTTAACCTAAGTTGTGATATTCTTGAAGAAACGTGAACGATAATTAATCCATATGCATATGGAATACTGTAAGGGTCATTCTCGCGTTTTCGCTTTCTCGCGATCTCGACCTTTGGAAACCAGATAAACATGCAAAAAGTGCGAGAATGCGAGATCGCAGGAACGCGAGATTTCGTCTGTATCATTTGGCCACAGCGATATATTATAATACATCGTCAGTAGCATTTAGCCATATGAATATGTACATTGCCAGTAGCATTTAGCCATAAGAATATATATAACGTCAGTAGCATTTACATATAGCCATAGCGATATTTACACCGTCGGTAGCATTTAGCCACAGCGATATTTACACCATCGGTAACATTTAGCCACAGCGAGATTTACACCGTCAGTAGCATTTCGCCACAGCGATGGTATTTACACCATCAGTAGTATTTAGCCATAGCTATATTTCTACCGTCAGTAGCATTTAGCCACAGCAATATATATATCGTCAGTAGCATTTAGCCACAGCGATATTTATGCCGTCAGTAGCATTTAGCCACAGCGATATATATATCGTCAGTAGCATTTAGCCATAGCGATATTTATGCCGTCAGTAGCATTTAGCCATAGCAATATTTATACCGTCAGTAGCATTTTAGGCGTAGCGATGTGCGAGTACCCATGACATTGTGTGACACGAATAGCCGTAGCATAAAGCGAAAGCGACATTAATTACACCGTCAGCGGTACTTAGCCATAGTGACATATTTTGCATCGTCGGCAGCATGAAGTAATAATGAAATATAGACTAAGTGTATATGGTAGGCAACATTAAGCAATAGTGACATGACGCCCAATCCTATCAGCCCGTGAACCCAATAGCGCCAAAGGAATGTCTCCAGACATGCCTGATAAACATCCGTGAATGCTTGCCAGACAAACCTCGCTTGCGTTAAACTTTGTTGATGCATGATTGTCAGCTGATCAATTCCACAGTCCTGTTTTGTCAGGTTGTAAACGGTACGGTTGATGGAGACGAACACGTCTCTGACCCTGTCAGGCCTCCAGGGAGATGCTACTTAACTCATGGAAGAAACTAATTACCTGGTTTTTGGTTTAAGGACGTCACACGCGTAGATAACGCCGCATGTTTTTGGCAGTTTAGGATACATTATACGGATGATGTCTCTCGGTCCATGCACAAAGTAGCCTTAATGATGAGACGTAAGGGTTTATATTTCCCAGATTTTACCGAGGTCGTGGTCTGAACCTTTACTATTAGGTGTCTGGGCTATATATATATGAGTGAGTGAGTGAGTGAGTTGGATTTAACTCCGCTTTTAACATTATTCCAGTTATATCACGGCGTGTCAGCTTAATGTGGGAGGAAAGCCCGAAGTGATGGAGGTCTAAGACGTTTACCACTTCAGTGAAACCCACGAGCACGGGTATGGTGCTGACAAACCTAGAAACATAATCGGGGCGAACCGGGATTCGAACCCACAATCATAATTTTTTGGCGTGCCCAAGGGACGCAACTCTGCACAGCGAATCGCGGCGCCTTAGACGACTGCCCGTGCCCCCTTATATATATGAACAAAATTTTCTTAGATACATACAGTTAGGAAGTTGCGGGTCTTGCATGCGGTACTTCTGTCCCATGATACAGAATCAGTCTAGTATCTAAACACGTTGCCAATGTGTAGGAACATTTCAAGTTTGATATATAGGTAAGTGCTGTTTTGATGTTAAACGATTCACGCCAACGTTTGAACCAGTCCCAAGTTACATTCCCCCTTACATCATATCTGAGTAGATCATCAAGCAATTTAGCTATTTCACAGATTAACTAGCAGTTATCCGAGTTAGTGGTCCACCTTGCAATACATGCCTTATCTCCCCAAGGTGATGTGCGTGCACCAATGTGCACAATGTGTGGTGGCGGTGTAGGCCAACTAATAGTTTTCGTCCCTCGCGTTCTCCACGAACCATTTCGGGTGTTCAGAAATATGCCCAAAATGAATAGTTTGATGGCAGGGGTGACTATTTGATTGACTGTGCTCAGTAAATAAATAGTGTTTTGGATGCAGGTGGGAATATATATTGTTCTGATATAATTCCCTCTTTACGAATCAAATGCTCACTTAGAGTGTTTCGTCCCGGGTGTTCTATATTAACCGTTTAATAGCCATCTGATGACTGACATGACAGCATTGAACCTACACATACCTGTTTGGGTCTGATCAACTAGTCAGATCTCCGCTGAGTAGATGGACCACCTACCAGTTTGAGCCTGATCTCCGCTGAGCAGATGGACCACCTACCAGTTTGAGCCTGATCTCCGCTGAGCAGACGGACCACCTACCAGTTTGAACCTGATCTCCGCTGAGCAGACGGACCACCTACCAGTTTGAGTCTGAATTCCGCTGAGCAGATGGACTACCTACCAGTTTGAGTCTGATCTCCGCTGAGCAGACGGACCACCTACCAGTTTGAGCCTGATCTCCGCTGTGCAGATGGACCACCTACCAGTTTGAGCCTTATCTCCGCTGAGCAGATGGACCACCTACCAGTTTGAACCTTATCTCCGCTGTTCAGATGGACCACCTACCAGTTTGAGTCAGATCTCCGCTGAGCAGATGGACCACCTACCAGTTTGAGCCTGATCTCCACTGAGCAGACGGACCACCTACCAGTTTGAGCCTGATCTCCGCTGAGCAGACGGACCACCTACCAGTTTGAGTCAATTCTCCGCTGAGCAGATGGACCACCTACCAGTTTGAGCCTTATCTCCGCTGAGCAGACGGACCACCTACCAGTTTGAGCCTGATCTCCGCTGTGCAGATGGACCACCTACCAGTTTGAGCCTTATCTCCGCTGAGCAGATGGACCACCTACCAGTTTGAACCTGATCTCCGCTGTGCAGATGGACCACCTACCAGTTTGAGTCAGATCTCCGCTGAGCAGATGGACCACCTACCAGTTTGAGCCTGATCTCCGCTGCGCAGATGAACCATCTACCAGTTTGAGCCTGATCTCCGCTGAGCAGACGGACCACCTACCAGTTTGAGCCTGATCTCCGCTGAGCAGACGGACCACCTACCAGTTTGAGTCAATTCTCCGCTGAGCAGATGGACCACCTACCAGTTTGAGCCTGATCTCCGCTGAGCAGTTGGACCACCGTGTATGGTTCTCGACTTCTGTGTACAGGAGGAGCACCTCCCCCGGGACGCACCCCCGGCAGTTGGTGCAGAAGATGGCGCTGTACCCACCACACTTGCACAACCAGCACCCTGCGTTCACCTCCCCCTCACACCGGATAGGGTCCTGGCGAAGAAATCATAGCGGTAAGATAATGATTGTAAACATGTGTTCAGGACTTCATTTCAGTTTTACGAGCGACGTCGTTATGAATGTCAAAACAGAACGTCGCCAGAGATCGATAAACTATGAATTGTGAACTGTAAACTGTTTGTTCGCTGTTGAACTGTAATATTTGCTACAGAGTGACATCAGAACATACGATCATTTCCGATTGTCTAAACCACAAGTGTTGAGCTACACAGATAACAGTATACAAACCTACAAGCTAACAAAACTTCCGTGTCGATTAGGACAATATGTATGCAAATATGATCGTGACCAAATATTGTTAGAAAAAATGACCATTTGCCAGTTGTATAATTATGGATGGTAATAACGCTTAAAAATGGAAACTCGCTGTGCGGAGTTGGTCCCTGAATGGTATGCTCGTGGCTTCGAATAACACATTCGACTTGATTATGAATCTTACGTCGTCAGCACCGTGCAAGTGGGTTTCACCAAAGTGGAATACGTCTAAAGCCTGTGTCTCTTCAGGTTGTCGTTTCTTATTAAGCTGTGATACAACTCAAGTCCAACTCAGTCAATTCATTGTATCTAGACAATTTCGGTAGTCCAGTGGATAGAGCGGAGAGCGGAAGATCGGTGATTCGACCCCCGCGTCATACCAATAGACGTTAAAATATGGTACTTGTTGTTTCCTAGCCTTGTGCTCGGCATTAAGGGGATAAAACAAGCACAGGCCTTGCTAGCAGTCCGTATTCAGTGTCTGAATGGGGTATTCAACTGCGGCGTGGTATCTCAGTTGGCTAGCACTATACATCAACATTAGTACATGCAGCCACAGACATGTATGAATGCATTAAATAAGTAATAATCTTGAACGCGACGTTAAACTCCATTTACCACACTTCACCTTATATCGACGTAGGAATGTAACGGGTATTCTCACCGCAGCACGCGCCTCCTTGTTGAGGTCCAGGTTAGCTATGACAGTGAAAGCCTTTTTACAGTGATGGTCAAACTTCCAGGGTTTGTCGATGGTACCTTTCACCCAGTACCGGATGTAACCGTAGCTGCCTTCGAACGACGACGGTAACGTCGCTGGCAACAACAGGTCGAAGGGGAAGGTGTGGTGGCCCGGCTGCAAACAGTTTGTATCCTCGCCTCGCACGTCTGGAAGGTGAAGACAACATTTATAACAAGCCTGCATCTTGTAGGATGACACCAACTTTGTGAGAGAGAATGACGGGTGGTGGTTTCTACCTTTAAAACACATTGTTTGTCAAATTCATACATTTCGTTAAACTAAAGTAAATAATTTAAAAAAAAACCACGCCAACGGGGTCATATATGGATGACAATTTACCACCAGGGCCCACTGGCACAAAGCGATCTTAGCGCTAAAATGATCGTAACTCCAATACTTTAACATAGGCCTACAATAGTCTTAGCGCTAAGATCGCTTTGTGCAAGTGGGCCCTGGACGATTAAACCTAACCGTGAGTGAATGAGTGTGTGTTTTGGGTTTGAATCTTTAGCATGTTTGTTTTTACACCTACGACCCTTATCATACACTAAATATTCTGATCTCAATAACATTTTTAATATCCAGTTCTTGTTTTGTAATATATTTGTATAATATTTAGCAAACTTAATAAACAGATAATGGAAGTGTATTTTCCTTGGTTACACATTTAGCGCAAGGAACAAATTCAAAAGATCTTATGTAAATCACGATTCTGAGTGAGTATACATTCGTCACCACTCGTCCCTTTCCGTAACCTATTCGGCTTGTCCCGGAATAACACGAGTTGGTCATGAATGAGTGAGTATAATGTTCCAACCAATCAAACCCGATTTCTCTTACTACAAGGTTTATCATTTTTATTATCTCTCAGCTTTTCTACATTCCCCGTGTTTCACCCGACCAAAGTCAAACCCCATTCATCCGAGAGCTGGTGAAATTGTCAGGATTAAAAAATGTAATACAAAAAGTACGATTATGTACGACCTAAGCAGCCGGGCAGACGAAAGTGATGTTGGCAAAAAATGAAATAAACAAGAATGGTTATTTGATGGTGATGTATTTGATCTGGGTATCATGGTTGTGTTTTGGATCTAAAGTTTGCACTTCTTCGGCAACTGTTTTCAACCTAGTAACGTTTTGACAACGTTTGTAATTTTGTGGTCAAATCCAATTTCCATTGTATGCGGAGGGGTCTGCCAGTTTGCGGTTTACGGTAAAATTATGCAGTATTACTAATCCATTCCATCCGTAGTAGTATGTAGATAACGGAATACGATGAAAGAACCTGAACGAATCTGGAAGCAGGTAAATAAAAGCGAAAACAGCCTTTCCATTTTCATAAAAATCGCTTCCTAACGAGTGTACGATTCCGACTATATCATGAGCATGTTTAAGAATCACAAACAAATAGTAATAGGTGTTCTCGGAATGGTGAGCGTATCCTGCCCCACTGATGTCATTCGTCACAAACACTTGCAAAGGCAAGTCAATTGTTCACATGAAAAACACTGGAACTTATGATACAAGTCAAAATAGGGATTTGCATCGGACTTTATTGTTGTCACTGATGCGTCATATTTGGAAAAGTCCTCCACATGTCTGCCATAAAACCTATGGGAAGCATTACTGAGACTTTGAATGTTGTAACCTTGATCAAACAACTTCTGAGCAAGAGTCGTATGCGTTCTTTGAAATCTTGTAGAAAGATAATGCTCGACATTATCTCAAACGTTGTGAAATGTGGACACCAGGGTCTGGAGCTGTAGGAGTGAGTGAGTGAGTATGGTTTTACGCCGCTTTTAGCAATATTCCAGCAATATTACGGCGGTGGACACCAGAATTTGGTTTCACACATTGTACCCATGTCGGGAATCGAACCCGGATCTTCGGCGTGACGAGCGAACGCTTTAACCACTAGGCTACCCGACCGCCCAGTGCTCGAAATAAAGGTTAAGGTGACTATGGATGGGAAAGTGGAGGTTATCCCTCTTGTCACACTGAATCTTTATGCACAGATCTAAATATGAAACCGATGTCCTTTATTTCTAGTTCAGGTGGGTAAATCAATAAAAGGGAAATGGCTCTTTGCTGGTTATTGAACGAGATGTTTGCATCTCAAATACCTCTGACGACCAATGTTTAGAGACCACACACGCGAGGCAGCACCTTCGCTTGCCAGGTAACTTCATTCAAACAGTACGAAGATGTCAAAGTTGTTTGTTGCAAAGACTCAGTTTTTGCAGTTTTTGAAAGAAGCAATATGTATCAGAACACGTTAACGTCAAACCCACGAGAACTCTTCACACGTGTGTCAGCATCATTTCATCGCCAAACTTTTAGAACACCTGTTAGCGATCATGGATAATTAAGAACAGTTCGTGCGAACGCAACCTGATATACCGTCTTGTGCAACTGATTGACGCTTGGATTTAACAAGGAGCAGCCTCATGACATGATGTCATATTCTGGTTGAATTGAGTTATCGTTCTTGACAACCATTACACACAACTGGCATAACACATATATCGCTAACTGGCTGTGTAAAGTGTTAGTTATAATAATTCCAGCAATTAGCCATTGATATGCAATGAAATACATTTGCTATAGTTCACGCGTGAGTGGAATATCCTCCGTGTCAGGAGCTCTGATCCCATGTTCTATTCCCAGATTCACCCCATTAGAAACCTATGATTATGGGTTCGAATCCTGGTTCGGGCTTTCCTCCAACATTAAACTGACACGCCGTGATATAACCGGAATACTGTTAAAAGCGGCGTTAAACCCAACTCACTCACTCACACTTATGGTCGTAGGATGAACCAACACCACGACCTTATACTTTGGGCTTCCCCCGCCGTTCAGTTGATATAATCGAACTGATGTTCAAAGTGGCGTTAAAACAAGCTCACAGATCACCCATGTGTGATAAAAGGGTATGCGTCATCGATAAATGAGGTGAGTGAAAGTTCATCACCATTCCACCAGCCATCACGTTACTTATCCACGCAAGAATATCTGGTCTATGTACCGCAGCACCCGAGACCAAAATAAACAGACAGGAGCATGTTGTAACGACTACCACGTGCCAGAAAACTGCAGTCCATCCATTTATCCACTTATCAGCCTCAAGCATTTAAAGGACTAAACGTCTGTGCGTGATCGCGCTGCATTATTGTACAGCCCTCACACACCGCTCTCACCAGAGACTTATTCGCCACCATTTCGTGTATACCATCCTTATCTTAAAAACACGGTTAGGTGAGCTTTAAGTTAATTCATCAAATAATTTACCTCCTAAAACTGACTGCAGCTTCTGAAATAGTCCAATCTGTTTAATATGAGATTCAGTTATCAGTCTCCAGCGAATACGTCCGTGGAGGTACATGTACCTGTCGTCATCACGGCTCGCGCTGTTGGCTTACTCGCTATCCGGTTTACTGCAACTTAGCTTGGATGTATACAAGTTATCAGGAAGTGTGGTGAGAGAACTAGTATCAACAGCGCAGCCAAGACAAGAAGCTGTGCCGGCACTTTGTCTTGGCTATCCATTATATTTGGCATTTCCTCTCCATCCTAACCATCAGAAGGATCGGGCGGAAAGAAATTAAAGAGGCATGCTTTTGTTCGAAAACTAATATGTGTATGATATGACAAAATGGATCACAATTTAATCGTTATTGTGCAGAAGTCGGAGTTTCCGAACGGTGCACGGTCGGTGTTAAGAACTGAAGGCGAAAAAGCCCAAAGCAACAGACAGACTAACTTCCCTTCTTCGAATATCTTTACGATAAAAAAACCCCTAAAAAGTCGTTGATATGTTCTCCAAGACGGGGTGATATATACATGCAAGCTGGCGTAATGATAGATAAGTCAGATGAAAAAGGATATGTGTAGGAAACGAAACGTAAGGGAGGCCTAATGCTGTACTGTTTACGATAATGGAATCGATGTAAATATCCTCTGTTCATATACGAGGAACAATATTTGAGGGAACCCCAGAATGTATTCAGAAACGATATCATAATGTAAAGAAATGACATTGTGGAATTCATTATTCATAGTCAAGTGAATATCTGGTCCATGACCGCGAACATCAACACATGCACGACATCTTCTGGGCATACTGGATATCAAACACCGGATTGTCTCCCGTGGTAGCCTTCGCCATTCTTGTAAGACCTTCCCATATTCTGGGAACGCTGAGGAACGCTGAGGTCGGTTGCGAAGACTTCAGCCCAGAACATCCCAAAGGTGTTCAATCGGTGCCATGTCTTAAGATTGGGCTGACCAGGTCAATGTGTCACACATTGCTGCCTCGGACAGTTGACTGTAACACGAGCTCTGTGAGGATGCCCACTGTCACCCCGGAACTCAAAGGTTCTCTCTCACCTACGCACTGGGCAAATGGGAAGACCACTGGTCGTAAAATATTTGTCCACATAACGTTGTCCGATCATGTTCCCTTGCATAATCTTCAGATCCGTCGTTTTGTGGCATTTGATGCCAGCCCAGACCATGATGCTGCCAGCACCGTGCCTATCGTGTTCTGCTCAACCAAGTGGTTGTGACGTTTATTGGCACATGCAGGTATCTAGGATGTGTCACTGTTGATGGCATGTGTTACATGTGCAACGTGCAAACTTTGAGTGAGTTTTCTATCCGTGTTCAGTAACTGTGCCTTGTGCTAAAAGCTGGGCATGTGATTGTTACAGCTGAAATGACAGAGGTTCCCTTAAATTTTGTTGCTCGTATATTGTGACATTTATTGGTATTATATTTCATGAAAGATATTTAATCAAAGAAAGTCTCTAAAGCAAGAATACATAACTCTTTTCTTGATGTTTTATTGGAAATATCTTGGTTTGCTAAATGTTTCAATGTTCCCAATGAACCAATCACAACCCATTTCCTAAACTGACAAATTTAGTTTGCAAACATGTCGAGGAAACAGTGAAACGTTAAGAATTGTAGCCTTTAGCGGAATCAAACCCGAAACAAATGACAGTAAACACTAGCATACCTCATGCACCACCGAACAATGTGTGCACTATTACTGATATTTCTAAAAAAGTGTATGACGTCATGGATTCTAGGTTTCTAATTTCGTCAGTATATGATTAGGATAAAGAATGTGTATATCAACATGCCTACGTGGTTTGGTAGATAGAGTGACTGCCGGGAGCGAAAGGTTGGTGTTTCTATCCCCGGCCGCGTCATTCCAAACGACTTTATAATATGGTACTTGTTGTTACCTTACCTGGGGCTAGGTATTCAAGGGTATAAAACAAAGACTGGTCGGCTCGGAGTCAGTATACTGTGTTCTGTGCAAACATTTTGAACGCCAAGTAAAACCCTACCTCACCTCACCCCAATATGCCCTCTGCTGACGCTGCTGCTGAAGATACGCCGACAACGGTGATAATGGAAATGAGAAAACAATTCAGAACATATGCAACATTACACTGCAGACGGCTTTCTCACTCGTGAAGCAACAGACCACAGCAAACAATAATAGCCATCGCACTGTGGGGCATCATTAAGTGAGTCGTGTTGGTTTTACGCCTCTTTGGGCAGTATGTCACTTGTATCCGGGAGTGTAGTGAGTGAGTGAGTGAATATGGTTTTACGCCGCTTTTAGCAATATTCCAGCAATATCACGGCGGGGGACACCAGAAATGGGCTTCACACATTGTACCCATGTCGGGAATCGAACCCGGGTCCTCGGCGTGACGAGCGAACACTTTAACCACAAGGCTACTCGACCTTCCCCCCTGGAGTGTAAGGTTAATGTAGGATGAAAGTGATGTAGGTCTTACACGTTACCAATTTGACGATACCTACCATTACAGGTGTAATGCTGACGAACCAAGGATCAATCCGGGACTCGAACCCTCTGTCAGCAGATCCTGGCACGATTAACGGGCGCAACACTGCACAGCAAACGGCTGCACTCTATACGATAAGGCGACCTGTGCCCAGTCACCATATGGTTGTTTTGATGGCGATTATGACACAAAGGATGTTTTATATTTAATCCCTATTTACTCTAAATCAGCTGCTTACGTTCACATTTTAACAGCAACACGTTGACATGTAAACCAACAAATATTTTTTTTTGGTACAAACTCTAACCATCTGTTTCCTATCATGCACGTATCTTTTTTCTATGAGTTAACAGCTAACAGAAGTGGGAAAAGGAATGAACTCAACTTTTCTTGAAAGGGAAACGTCTCGAAACCAGATGAATTGATTACACAGTTATTTAGCGTGAAAGTTGGGTTCGTGATAAAGATATTTGCACCTGAGAATCCATGATGACCAGATATACATCCCCCGTGTTCTCCAGTGTGACATTTGGTGCATTTATCCGTCTTCTAGTGTAATAGTTCCAATGGGTTTCTTATTTTGGAATGCAATTCTTTCATACAGAGCTTTTGAAATCAATCTCATACATATCCACATGTAGGTGTACATAGAGGGGTGTACTATTTATCTGCAACACAGCGGTGAGGTGAGTGAGTGAGTGAGTGAGTGAGTGAGTTGGGTTTAACGCCGCTTTTAACAGTATTCCAGTTATATCGCGGCGTGTCAGCTTAATGTTGGAGGAAAGCCCGAAGTGATGCAGGTCTCAGACGTTTACCACTTCGGTGAAACCCACGAGTACGGGTATGGTGCTGACAAACCTAGAAACATAATCGGGGCGAACCGGGATACGAACCAAAAATCATAGGTTTCTGGTGTGCCCAAGGGACGCAACTCTGCACAGCGAATCGCGGCGCCTTAGACGACTGGGCCAACCGTGCCCCCAGGTGAGGTGAAGTGTGGTGTAAGATTACTGCACTTATACAGCGACGTGCATGCACGTGTGTGTGTGTGCGTGTGTGCGTGCGTGCGTGCGTGCGTGCGTGCGTGTGTGTGTGTGTGTGTGTGTGTGTGTGTGTGTGTGTGTGTGTGTGTGTGTGTGTGTGTGTGTGTGTGTCTGCGTGTACTAGTCCAGACTTATGCCGATTTTATAGTGCCTGCCAACTGATATGCAATGCCACAGTTTAGCATGAATATCCCATTCAGACACAGTTAAATGAATCCGAGACAACCAGTCCTTGGTTAAGCCTTTATGCCGAGCGCCAGACAGGGTAACAACAAGTACATTCTTGTAACGTCTTTTAGTATGACGTACAAGTCTCATCGTTGCCCCACACTACATGTTCAGGTCTCACCTTTGCCCCACAGTCTGAACCTGTGTTTGAAGTAGCCCTCCTCCGCTGAGTACTCCACCGTCTCCAGACGTTGACGTCCCCCACGTCGCCCTACGTTCTCCAGCTCCGACCAATGCACATAAGCTCGGCCCAGACACGTCAGCCGGAGTTCTGTACAAACAATGGATGCACACGTGAGTTGTGTGAATGTATATGAAAATTAAAACACAGTTGATACTTATGGGTAAACCGTAACAACTTGCAATGCATGTACGTAGCATTTATCAATCCAGACACGATATTATGCTTTCGGTACACATCAACGACCCTCGGACGTAGGAGTTTGTACAGTAAATTATGTTTATAACGAACACGCTTGTAACGCACTGACGGATACATGTATAACAAACTGTTAATGGGTCCTGTTCATTTACTGTGTATAGGCTGTACTCAAAGTCAAAGTCAAAGCACTTTATTGTACAAAAGGCCCCCGGCCCATATACAAGAGAGAGTTACTCATGTAAATACAATCATAGATGTTATACACTGGGACATACACGTTGTTTGATTAATTCATGTCTTTTGGCTAATTCATGCTTAATATATAGAGAACGATTAAATATATTAGATTCGTTCTTTGTCGTCAGATTAACTACAAAGACGTTTATCGGTGGCATTGCTATTAAATAATCGTTTATACATTTCTCTCGAAGATCATTGTAAAACGGACAGACAAACACAAAATAAATTTCATTTTATATCTCAAGATTTCTTAATGGACAAATTCTTTTCAGATTTTCCATGGACAGTTTTCTTCCTTCATTTACAAATAGGTCCAGTAAACCAAGTCGATATTTAATGAAAATGTTTTCTTAAGTTTTCCGAAGTGTGTACTCATAAATATATTTCTGGTTGAAGTAAAGTCTTGAATGTTTTGTTATATTCATAACGTGAACTATCCTCTAAAGTGGAATGGCATTCTTGGTAGAGCATATTTATAGACCGATTTCAAAATTTATTAAGAAACATATTTACATTTCCAACTGACTGACATAGCCAAATAAAACCCAAACCATGAGAAAATATAAGATTTCTTATATTCTATGTCCAAGTATTCTTTCCCATGTTATCTAAATGTAGGAGCATGTTATAAGCTAGTTTAGGGAGACGTTGTTCATGCATATGAAGGATTTTAAACCAGTATTTTACACATCTAATCTGTGAGTTAATATATAATGGGTATCTACATCATTCACCATAAACCATACAATTTGGTGTAGAAGATCCGACACACAGAACTTTTTTACATGTTAATAAGTGATCCTCTTAACAGTCATAACGTTGATACCCCCATACTTCAGAACCATACAATAAAATTGGTTGTATCTGGGTATCAAAAGGCTTAAAGAAGATATTAGGTCACATCGTTCCAACTTTATGAGCAACAGACATTACACATATTAAAGCTTTCTTTGCACGCAAGGACAAGTCAAGGGCACATTTTCCCAATTCATTGTGTGTGAGAACCAGACTCCAAAATATTAATAGTAAAGGCTGTTGATGTGCCTAATGAACTAACAGTAGTGGTCCTTGTACATATCAAATATGGATACACGATAACAAGATATGGAAACGAGTTTTTATTGCATTTGTCAAACAAAACACACGTTCAACGTATTTTATTTATCATACAAATCCAAGTGCTATCGAGGCAGATGAACATTAATAAACACCAATGCGGCTACGTATGTTACTATGTTTTCATGTTAAACACAGTATACTGTTTTTGACCACAAGTTGTGTCACGGCAGGTTTCCTGCACGGCGTTGTTCTAAGATCGTGTGATGAGGAAACACGAAGGGTGCTCCTGTAATGGGTCTTCCTATCTTGATATACCTTGCCACTCAGTATTCGCCGTTGTACTCACCAGACAAGAACTATATATATATATAGCTTCACTGATAGTTCTCCCCCAACACTTCGGTTTACAAGAACGGTTATCTTACAATATTGACAGCAGGGAAATAATCAGCTTACTGAGTAAATATTGCGGAAGTTTTAAAACGAGAATGGGTGCGGTGTATGGAAACGAAATTCTTCTCACGGAGGCTTTAATAGGATATGTTTGTAAATAGACTAAACTCTCTGCGTGAAATTGATTAAACTTTTGGAGATAAGAAAGCTAATATTCACAACAACATGGATTGGCTATATCTTCACGAGATTTTAATTAAGAATTGAATTTCATTTTGGGTTGATTGGAGTATGAAGCTTCATGGCGTGTGAGTGTGAGTGAGTGAGTGTGTGTTTGTGCGTGAGTGAGTGAGTGTGTGTGTGATTGAGTGTCTGTGTGTATGTTTGTGTCAGTGAGTGTGTGTGTGTGTGTTACAAAATATTTCCCATATTTAGACTTCATTACTGGTAATAATCGTAAAGACACACTGGTTAGAATGTTAAACTCTTCTGATGTAAACCGCCTTGAGAACTTAGCCAATTATGTTAAAAATGCTATCTGTCTTCGTTCTTGTTACCTGTAAATATTATTTCATGCAGCACTTGATGTGAAACTAAATTATATATATCTGTACGTGGGCCTGAGGCCTTATTACCGAATAAACTGATTGATTGTGTGTGTGTTACACGTTGGTGTAGCTTCGGGGAAAAGGCATTGTTTCGGTTATGCTCTGAAAATACAATTACATGAGAGTGTGCTATTCAAGATATTACCAAACATGGAACTTCATACCATAATGTCTTAAAAAACTGCAAAATATTGTTGCATTTACCTATAAGGCTCAGCTGTAATGAATGCAAGTACACAGACTCTCAAGAAAGTAGCCAGAGAGCTAATATACCAAGCAGTGTCTACACACGTCACTGGGAAAGCGTCAGTTAATGGTGGACTATATACAGGCCGCTATATATAGATCAGACTGTTTTTGATTTCTTTTTATTAAAATACTGAAATTACTACATATTTGGTTCTTAGTATAAGATGGTGTCATATAATAACACCTGCATTTTGGTGTGGGGTTATCACCACATGTATGTAGAGTTGACATTCATCAAAGGCTCCCTCTTCTGGGCTCTTTAGCTTGAAAGAGCTACATAGACATATTGACATCTTTATGAGAGCTTTTTCAAAGTCAAAATATCTTTAACACTCTCTTAAACCTGGTTGTGATGCAACACACGAATAACCTAGTTCAGCTTTCGTCTTCATTCAGACACTGCCCCGTGGGAATTCCAGGTTACAGTTGGTACCAACCTGTGCTGGTCGTTAGAGTGAATGGGTGAGTGAGTATGGTTTTACGCCGCTTTTAGCAATATTCCAGCAATATCACGGCGGGGGACGCCAGAAATAGGCTTCACACATAGTACCCACGTCGAGAATCGAACCCGGGTCTTCAGCGTGACGAGCGAACACTTTAACCACTAAGCTCCCCGACCGCCCCGCTTGTCGTTTGAGGCGACACTAGTCGGGTTATAAGCCCCGGGGACTTCGTTAACCGTATGTCGCCGTACCCCGACAGCGTAGATCGTTGCTCATAATATCAACCATATAATCAGAGCGAATCTTGATACGACTAAAATACTGGTAAACGAGACGCAAAACCCAACAAATCGTGTACAGAAACTAGGTTAAGTCTAGTTGATGTAAACATAATTTATTAACATACATACGATTCCTACGTCATATCTGTTCTTCTACAAATGTGAAATCGGCAAAACGATCGCGGATCCGGGTTTTAAAGTTGGCAGAAGGGCGTGGGGGTGAGGGTGGGGGTGGGGTTGGGGGTTGGGGGGTGGGGGGTGGGCGTGGGGATGGGGGTTGTGGTGCTGGACACCCGTGCCATCACACCTCACTTTGGTTCTGCCAGGATAATGGATACATCGGCTATAGGGCAGCATTAGCTGCGGTGAGTATAAATGCTGCACCCTGGGCAGTCCACGCTGATGGCATTTGGATCTGCCCAAACGCAAGTCACGTGGGAAGTTGCACAGGCCAGCACACTGTCTGGGCAATTTCCTCTCAGTGTTGGAAACAATTTTTCAAAGATGTCCAAACCTGCATGAAACACATTTCAGTAGACGCTGCTACTGCAACGATGGTCTACCAGCACTCGCCCATGAACTATTTCTAGAAACAGTAAGCTATTGTTTACCTTCAACATCAGACAAAGAAGAACAGATGGACCAAACATAAACTCGCGCCACAAAACACATGTACACTTGCTTACCTTGTATCAAGGAGACCACATCACCAACAAACGTACGTGAGAAGAGTGGGCAGTTGCGATTAACCATATACCACTCAACCAGAGTACAGGCATTTAGCTGACAATAACAACGTGAGTTAATATGGTTACGTGACACTCAAGACGTTTCTTGTATTTTCATTAATGAAATGAAGGAATATATGAGTTTTATGCAGGCAAGCCGATGGCTGATGAACTGATATTGAGTGTCGCCGGGGTCCGATGATACACTGACTCAGCCAGGTCGCACCTCATCGCGTCTACTGGATCAACCGTTCAGTCTTATCGCCAGACAGGAGTTTTTGGGTCGTGTTCCACAACGGAGACAAGGGTCTGCCAATAGAGACCTCCCTGTGCAGGGGGCCGTGGTGGCCAGGTCATCTAAGCCGCCGCAATTTGATTTTTGGGGTTGCCCCCCTTAGACGTTCAGGATCATATGATCCCATTTTCACCCAAAGTGGCAAACGTCTAAGACCTGCATTACGTCGGTGTTTCCTTCAACATCAAGCCGACATACAGTGATAGGACTGAGATACTGGTCAAAATCTTTGCTTATATGACAATATATCGGTGATATCTAAGTCCATTAAGTTCTTAAACCCAAAACTTTATGCTTGAGGTCCCTTATCTTAACATAGGCAGCCGGCTGCTACAGCTTTGAGGAACGAGCTGCTGGGGAGTTAAGGCTGGAATGGTTATGGTATGCACATCATATTTATTCACACACGCTCAAGTAAAAGTGGTTTTACAATTGGTTCCCTGCCTGTGACTATTAAGGAGAGTCTGCTCAGTTTGCTCTCTAACTATGACTATAAATGAGGGTCCCTAACTATACTACTACGAATAATAATGTGTCTTGACAAGATTCCCTAATGTGATTGACAAGATTCAGGGAAAACACGGCAAATATGT